AGTGATACCGTTATAAACTTTAAAGTTTTTTTCTAAATTTTAGATTTATCAAATACAGTAATTTCAGATTTTCGGTTTTTATTCTAACATATTGCCACAGTTTGTTCTGCAGAGTGAGTCGATAAGGAAGGGATATGATCAGAATGGAGGCTACTCGTCCAGTAAAGGAACATAATTTTCACCACTCAGCACGGAAAGCTATGTTTGTGATATTAAAGAACTTCAATTGCACCATCTGCGCAAGGTCACTAAGCTAATATTCACCGGAAACCGCTTTTCATAAGGGACAAATTGATTATTAAAATTTTTGCTTCTACTGTTTAAAATATTATGGCATGAGTTAGTAGAGTATGAACAAGCCACGGTGCCCATGAAAACCTGTACCTGTAGAAATCACTGCCAAACTCTGCCAATTAGAGAGAGTTTTCCAATTAATAAAATCCTTTTCTGCCTTTCAATATATATATATATATATATTAGAGGGTTTGCTTCTTGTGGGAAAGAAAAGGGGGGGGGGGGTTCTGTTTTGGAATTTCTGGCAATCTACAAAATGAGAACATCAGAGTAAATCTCCTTTCAACAGTTTCGGGTCAGTTCTTTACATAAGATTTGATGCAAAGCCTAAATCATTTACAATTTCTAGATATTAAATCCAATCTTCTTACAACGTGTTTTCTATTGACATTTTGTTACCAAAAAAAAAAAAAGATGCAAGGAAAGTCATCCTGATCTTGAATCGAGATCCTGAAAATATCAGAATAAAAAGATAATAAAGTACTCACAGGAACATGATCTTCATACGTAACTGATAAAACATTTAGTTGCAATGCTATCATTTAGTACTAAAAGGTGGAAACAAGGACAAATTAATCAACACCACTACAAAATAAAAATGAAAAAAAAAAAAAAGGGTTGTCGTAGATATCATTTGTCAAGGCAGCCATAGATATGCTTAATGCTTCTTTTCTTAATTCAGTAGATGCTTTGGTTGTTTCCATGGATGAATACATAACGAGGTCCCTTGATTCCCTGTATACTCAGTGTACACTGTATACGAGGAACAGGCACAAAAAAACTTGTGTGATGGATTAAAACCTTTGTACTGAAATTCAATTTCGATGAATTTCAGATGTTCTAAACATTAATTTCCATTGTCATAGAAGCTTTTATGGTTCTCTGTTTCTTACAATTTATACATTCTCATCCAAAAATTAGATATGTACTTTTATCCACTACATGATAAATAATAATGTTTATTAATTATGTCACAATTCATAATTTTCATCGAAATCATTTCTTGCATTATTATTGTGATTTTTAGAATCTTGTCAGCCATTATTATTAATCAGATTATATTCTAGAAGTGTATAATCAGCCAATATCAGTCTACAGAAGATGTCATAATCATACCCTTTACTTTGAACAGGAAAAGAAAGTAAAAAAAAAATCATAAATTCCAATTACATGGATAATGTCCTATATCAAAAGGTTATAAGATAAATAATAATAATAATAATAAACATTTGATGTTTCGTACTTTATCTAAATATGATCCTCTTGGCATGATCAACCCATGTCTTGCTTCTAATTTCTATCTTTCCGGCGTACAACACTGATTGGTAGCTTGGAAAATTATTTTTGTGTTGTGTCAATGTCAATGACTATGTTTGTAGATTAACAATTTCGAAACCCATATAATTTGGATATTTCATCCATGCCCCTAGAAAGAAATAAAGCGATAAAAAATAAAAATATATATATTTTTTACAAAAGATGTCATAATTTGAAGAAAAACTAAATTTTATATTGATTAAATATGAGGTTTTTTTATAAAAAAAATTTTATATTATTATTTTTCCATTAATAATAAATTAATTTTGAATTAAATACAAAGATTAAGACTTTTTAAGACAAGCCATTAAGTTTTAATTAAAGAGTATCAAATAAGAATTTAAAAAAATTAAAAAATTTTTGCTGTATAATAATTTAGTAATAAGCTCTATATTTGCAGCCAAAGCTTTGTTCCTTTGCTACGCTGCTTGCAGTTTGCACATCGCTCAAAGGTATTCTCTTTTCTCCTTTCTCTCTGATCACCACTCTTTTTGGCCATTCAATTTCAGAATTTTTTTTTTTATTTTTGCTCTAAGCTTTGTTCTTTTGTTATCTATGATTGTTAAAACTTGAGGTAATTTAGCCATGGCAGACTGATAAAACAAATGGATGCTTTAATTTCCATGTTTATTGCTTATTAATTTTACAAATCTTGCCCTAGTTTATATCATCAAAGATTTCAAAAGAAGGGTTCTCTTGCTTTAAAGACTTCTAAAGCAACAAATTGTTCAATAATTAGTTACCCTTCAAATATTTGAATATCGCCAACATTTGCATCACTTGTTATTAAAGTATTAAACTCTTAGATATGATGATTAAAGTTTAAATTCTGATAATTTCAAGTATAAAAAAATAAATATTTGAATATTATTTCTAGTCAGTTTTGATTCTTGGAATTTGTTATGGAATCAAATTTCATTATGTTTTGTAATATCAGGTAAGTGCTTGGGTTATACAACTGATCCAAGTTAAAAGTATTTGGTGCAGTGATATTGATGATTTGAATAATTGCTTGGATGAAACAATATCAGAGATACAGGATGATTGCCCATGTAAGGTATCTGTGCATTCCCATCTTTTCACACCTATTTCTGCCACATTAAAGATCATATATATATATATATATTGCCAGTTTGAAGAACATGTATCTGTTTTCTGCGGTTCATGTTCGATGGGAAAACATTGTTCTGAATCTGAACTATGGCCCTTTGGCTGCTGGAAAGCCTGTCATGTAACAGTCAGAATTGGACAAGAGAGATTGGGTCAATTTTTGGGAGCTTATCCTCGATCTCTCTGCGTCGAACTTCGTTTGTTTCTTCAGATAATTTAGCTTATCATCCATCGGAAAACATTGTTCTCGACTGTGGCTCTTCATCGGTGAAAAGCCAATCGTATAAGGGTAGAAACTGTTCATCTGACATGGGTCATAGTTTGCTGCTTCCAATTCAGATAGCAAATCCACTGTCTCCAATGCCTCCAAAGGAACAACAGTCCCTAGAGTTCCTTAGTGAGAAATTTTCTTAAAACCTTACCTAGAAAGATTTTGAAAATATTTCAACAAGAATTTTCATTTTCATTTAATAAAATAGTTAGTAAAAAATCAAGGTTGGTAAAATAAAAATTAAAATAAAAAAATTAAAATATTAAATTAATTTGATGACAGAATCTTTTAAAAGGAATTAATGAGTTTAATTTTAAATACTTTTGAAATTGGAGAATTTTTTAAGAATTTTATCAAAATATTAAAGAGAATTTAATTGTAATATAAAATTAATTGATATCTTTTTTGAATTGAAATGATGTAGACAATAATACTTTCTTCACACAAAAATTAATCAATAACATTAAATAAAATTTGACTCCAAATGGAGAAAACTAGCGATTGAAGAACCTACCATGCATTTTCTTTGAACAAGATAATCCTACCATTTTCATTAAACAAGAAAAGAAAGTAAAAAACAGTCATAAATTTCAATTATCCGAAAAATATGATAAATGAAAGATATTTTTGTTCATCATATATTATTATTTGAAGTAAATTATTTTAAAAATAAGTATTATGTTAATTAATAAATTTATAATTTAAATATAATATTTTAAAATTTTAAAATTTAAATATAATATTAAATATTTTATTATAATTTAAGAATCCTGAAATTATCTTTAATCTTTAATAGTAGTATAAAAAACGTTTTTGGAGCGGCCATCGCCCCACCAGCTTTTCTGGCCCCACCTGCTTTTCTGTATTCAATGTTTAATGTCTGGTTTCTGAGAAAGTCTTGGTCTTTATTTGTCCACTTCTGTACGTTTTGAACGTTAAGTCTTGGTCTTTTTTTTGAACGTTAAGTCTTGGTCTTTATTAAATACTAATAATAAATAAAAATAAACTCAATTATTGCTGTTGGATGAAATAAATAATTTAAAATATAATAGGATGATATAAAATAAATATGATATAAAATAAAAATAATATAATTTAAAATTTTAATAATTATTATATAAATTTAAAAAAATTAAAAAATATATTTTATATTAACATAAATTAAATATATAATTTTTATATAAAATATAATATAAATATATAAATTTTAATATTTTACATTATAAATATAAATCTTCTAGATGAAACCTAACTTTCTTTCCAAGTTCGATGCGATTGGCATGCCAGCTACTTTCAATAAAATTAATGTCAATATGACGATGACTTAGCCTTAGATGGTGATAGACAACTAATCTCCATTAGACTTTTCCCGAAGAAAAAATGGTAAAAGACAACAAAGGGTTTGTTAAAACATCAAGCATCAAATATTTTATTGATTAGATTCGATTTTAGTTGTCAATAAATTATTTTAATGAATAATTTATAAATTTAATATAAATTTTTATTGAAACTTACTAAATGCTTTGATTTTAAAATGAAATAATTTTTTTTTACCTAAACTTTTTTATAAACAAGAATAACGTGAAGTGATAAGGTCATCGTTTCGTTTATTCTTTTTTTTTAAATGGATTTTTCTTTCCCTAGCATTTCGCCTAAGATTCCTCTGAAATACAAAGATTATTGCTGAACGGCGACCGAAAGAAAAAGCTTTTCTTCGACGACTTATGTAAAGACTTTTTAAGTCTGAATCATTAAATTTTAATTAAATATTACTCAAAAAATATTTGGTTGTTGAAAGTTAAAAAATTAAAATCACGTGATTTAAATTTTATAATTTTAAAAAATTTTAAAAAATGATTGATAAGTAAAATAAAAAAATAAATAATAATGAATTTTAGCTTTCTTAAAATGTAAAGCATAAAATTAAATTATGAAACTACAAAAAAAAATAATATTAATAGGGTTCGTTGAACAACCATTTAAATTTTTTTAACATAATGTTTAATAGAAAAAACATTTGTGGGGCCCAGCCCCGCAACCATATATAACCGTCCGCCAGGCAGACTACATTATCCAAAATTTCTATCTTGCGCCAAGGTATTCTCTTTTCTCGTTCTTTCTCAGAATTCATCTTATCAACCAAAGTTTTCGAATTTTTTCTATTCATTTCTGCTTGGCCTCTTTATTTAGTACTGTCTAATTTTTTCAAACTATTTCCTTAACTATTCATTTTTAAAAATATTGTTTATTAAATGAATGCAATTACATTTTTGTCCAGGATAGTAAACTGATTACAGGAAACAAATAGTAAACTGAAGTGAAATGATGCGTTCCTTAATCCATACTGAGAGTTTGGTTTCAATTGGAATATGTATCGGTGAGTTTTTTTATTATCAAAACATAAATCAATTAGATTTTATTGTGATGTTTCAATTTTATATTGAAAATTTTTAAAGACATGTTATAATATATAAATAAAACTTTAAATTTAAATGTATAAAATATTTTTTTCGAGATATATATCTCGTAAACTATACGGAAATCTCCATACATATATATCAAGATTGGGAGATTAATTTATATGCCAAGAGAGAACCAATATTAAAGCCATGTCACTTTTACAGTAGTGAGGAAAGTTAGGATGGTTATCAAAATTAGGAGTTTAATTGATCGAATTTAAATTGATACAATATTAAGTTTGAGTTAGAGTTTAATTTTAAATTCGAGGCTCAAAATTCGATTCAAATTCAATCGAATTTTATTTTTTTAGTTCGAATTTAATTCGAAATAAAAATCGAGTCATTCGAACTCACTCGATTAAGTTCGATTAATATGTAAAAATAAACGTGATTCTTACATTTGATTAAAATTCAACCATTTGTGCTAAACTTGAACTCAAATTCGAAATATTTTATCAATTAAAATTTATTAAAATATAAAAATTTTATTAAACTCGTAAATTACTTTAATCGAATATAAAAAAACTCAAATTTAACTTAATCGATAAGTCAAATGATTCAAATTCGAACTCGATTTCATAATAATCGAATAAAATTTAAATTTTATTTGAATTAATTTTAAATAATTTATAAATATTAATGTGTCATTTATATCTTTAATCACGATTATTACTTGCTTTTAACCTAGCTATAATTGTATAGTAAAACGTACGAGCATCCGTTTTCAATCAAATTGAAATTCAGTCAGCGAAGGGTTTTTCCCACAGCTGAAGCAGGAACCTATTTCAATCCAGAATATAAGCATAAGTTCTTCTCAGAAGAAACTTGGTAGTTATGGAGAAAATTTATATAAAATTTTTTAGGCGGAATTTGTGAATTTTTTAATAATAATTTAATAAAAATTTTAATAAAAAATTCAAATTGATATATTGTGAATGTCAATAATATGTAAAAAATTACTAAAAATATTATTTATAATTCAAATTTAATTTATATTTATTTAACGATAAAAATTTTGTTAATATTTTTAATAAAAATATCTATCTAAAAAATATATTAAAATTTTTTAAAACTTTATATACTTAATCTATATAACGAGATCTTTTAATTTATCAATTTTTATTTTTAATTTCAATTTTTATCTAATCATTTTTAATTGAGAACTTCAACTTTACTTAAGAAAATTTATTTAAATCTTTCCCTGATGTTGTTATGCACTATTATATTATAATATAATGAATAAATAAAAAACTCTTGCTCCTAGCGCCATAACCAAATGCGATACAAAAAGATTAAACGAAAGAAAAAATTGACAGAGATCCAAATAGATAGCTTGAAGAAAGGAGAGAGATAGAGAGTTATGGTAAGAGTAACTCAAATCAATTATAATTTATTTTTCTTTTAATTACCAAAAAATTGAGAAAATATGGTAGAGTAATGATTCACATGATCAAAAAAAAAAAAAAAACACTAGAGATTGGGAAATGAGTTTAAAACTAGAATATTATGGAAAATAAGTTCTAAAACTATTATGGTTTAAACTTAAATCAATAAAGCAAATGGATGTTTAATTTCCATGTTTCATATTAATTTTACAAATCTTGGCTAGTTTATATCAAAGACTTGCAAAGTAAGAACGATTCTCTTACTTTACAGACTTCTAACACTTTGGTGGTTTTTAATACAAGATTTCTTTCAAAAATCATGATAATTTATTCTTAATCATTAGATCATTATATTATTAAAAAAAATAGAAGAACGGTCTTTTTGAAATTTTGTGATGATTTCAAGATAGAGTATAAAAAAAATGACTTCAAAACATGTTATAAATATAATTTTTTTAGGTTTATTTCGTCCTTAGGTCATGATATGCAATAGGGATTGAATCGAATTTTTTTTATAATTTTTTTAAAATCATCTCTTTTTTTAAGTAAATTTTACATGTTTCTTTCAATATAAAATTTTTTATAATTTTTTGATGATTTAATCTTGATAAATGATTGAATATGAATAGACATATTTTTTAGGTTTATGAGATATCAAAGTGATAATGTGCTAAAATTTTGATAATGACCAACAAATCTATCAATGCATGTTTATAAAACATCTTTTTATTTTACTTGATTAAAAACCACTAATATAGTGCTAATTGTGAGGTTAGATAAGATAGCAAACATATTATCATAAAGAAGTACTTTATAAAATCATAAGTAATGAAAGGTTATAATTAAAAAAAATTATTATAATGAACATTTTTTTTTTTACTCTTTATCCAAATAATGATTATTAAAATTTTTTTTATTAATTTTAATTATCCAAATAAGAGGTACATATATATTTTTTTCCTTTAAAATTTTTTTTCTTTATTAATATTTATCCAAACATAAGTCTTAGTCTTTTTTTTTTGAACTTTGAGTCTTGCTCTTTATTAAATATTAATAATAAATAAAAACAAACTCAATTATTACCGTTAGATGAATTAGATAATTTAAAATATAATATGATGATATAAAATAAATATGATATAAAAAATATGATAATAATATAATTTAAAATTTTAATAATAATTTTATAGATTTAATAAAATTAAAAAATATATTTTATATTTTTCTATTAATATAAATTATGATATATAATTTTTTATATAAAATATAAAATATAAATTTTAATATGTTACACTATAAATAAAAGTCTTCTGGATGAAACCAAACTTTCTTCCAAGTTCGATGTGATTGGCTTATTGCCAACAACTTTGTTGCGAAATGAATAAATCGAAGACTAAGACTTAGATGGGTGATAGACAACTAATCTCCATTAGACTTTTCAAAGAAGAAACGGAAAAAGACAACAAAAGGTTTGTTAAAACATCAAGCATCCATTATTTTATTGATTAGATTTGATTTTAGTTGTCAATAATTTATTTTAATGAATAATTTATAAGTTTAATATAAATTTTTATCGAAACTTGATAAATGCTTTGATTTTAAAATGAAATACTTTTTCTTTACCCAAACTTTTTTATAAACAAGAATAACGTGAAGTGATACGGTCATCATTTAGTTTATGCCTTTTTTTTTTTAAATATATTTATATAAGATAAAAATTTTATTAATATTTTTAATAAAAATATTTATTTAAAAATATATATCAAAATTTATTAATTTTTTTTAATTTTATACACTTAATTTATGAACGAGATTTTTTAATTTTTTAATTTTAATTTTTATTTAATCATTTTTAGTTGAAAATTTTATAAATTTTTATTTAAAAAATTTCATTTAAATTTTTTTCTTATGTTGTTATGCACTGTTATATTATAATATAATGAATAAATAAATAACTTTTGCTCCTGGCGCCATAACCAAATGGGAGACAAAAAGATTAAAAGAAAGAAAAAATTTACAGAGATCCAAATAGATAGCTTGAAAAAAGGAGAGAGATAAAGAGTTATGGTAAGAGTAACACAAATCAATTATAATTTATTTTTCTTTTAATTACCAAAAAATTGAGAAAATATGGTAGAGTAATGAATGATATGATTTAAAAAAAAAAAACACTAGAGATTGAGAAATGAGTTTAAAACTAGAATATTATGGAAAATAAGTTGTAAAACTATTATGGTTTAAACTTAAATCAATAAAGCAAATGGACCTTTAACGAGGGATCGGAAATATATTTCTTGGATAAAATTTTTTGCAACGAACAATGATTAATAGACTTACTTCTTAATTGAGAATGAAAAGGAAATAAATAATCAAATTCTATTCAAAGGTCTTTACTTGAAAATTTTCTATCGTCTCTATTTATAAATATTTTTATTTTAAAGTTTTTACTCTTCAATTGTTTTGATTCAATCAACCAATTTGTCTTTTCAGTGGCAATTATTTTACAAGTGAAGTATCATATTGTGAAAAGTTTAGAACTCAAATGAAGCAAAAGTAGCAGTTTCAGCAGAAATTGTTTTGTTCCGAAGCAAAGATATCCACGGGGTGGTTCGCCCTATTCTGATATTCACGACCGAGAAGGATTGCCACAATTTTCGAACGAAGGACAATCAAATGTCTGTGGTAAGCATTCGACTTCCCCTTTGAAATTTTGTTCCAGAGCATTTTTCCAAATCTAGGCGCTCAACTACCATGCCAAAAGCATATGACTGCTTGAGTGTAATTTTGAAACATAATGTTTTCTTGATCATGATATTCGACTTCCTTTTGCCTAAGGCATTCGTTTCCCTTAGAGAAAATTTGAAACAAAATGAAATTCCAGTCAGGGCAGTTGACATTCCTGGTTTGTCATTCAACTGCCCTGCCAAAATGTAATTTGAAACAGAATCAAGTTAATCATATGGCATTCAAATCCCATGTATAAGTATTCGACTGCATTTCTTTTTTTTTTTTTTTTTATTGTGAAATCTTTCCAAGGCTATTTTATAGCTTTTTATTCACTAGTTTCTCGACCCATTGATTAAACATCATGTTTAGTTAATTATATTTCACCATATTTTGAAAATATTTCAATACGTGTATAATAAATAATCAATGATTTTACGTGACAGTGATCTTATATTACTAATAGTAATTAAATCATTGCATTAAAAGATAATCTACTTCACATATAAAAGGGTCAAAAACTTTAATTAATGAGATAAATTAATATATAAAATTAACAACAATAAGTATTTACATATTTAATATGTGAATTAATTTTTTTTCAAAATTGTAATTATTTTATATTATAAATTTTTATATTTCAAACTAATATTCATTAAAAGAAGTTCAAAAATAATTTGTGTTTTTTTTTAATTTTTAATGCTTTATTATAATATAATATTTTGCTTTTCATTCTTATGATTTTAATAGATTAATTTTATTATTAATTCAAATATTTTTTACATAATATATATTATAAAAATGAGTTTATCTATATTTAAATATATTCGTTAATTTAATAATTTAATTATATTTTATCATGAAATAAATAAAATATTATTAATATTTTACAAATTATTATTTTAAAATAATATTAAAATTATTAACTTGTACAACATATACAATATATATGATTATTACTTATTTTGATACTTTGAAAAAAATAATTTTTAATTTTTACTAACACCAAACACAATGGTTTTTAATTTCTAAAAATTAATAATTACTAACCAAATAATGTGATTCTAAATTGATCATGAATAATAAAATCACTTCAATGATTAAGTTACAATAATAATCTTCAAAATGATATCAAATATAGATAAGTAACAAAGTTTTCAAGATCAAGTAATTTGTTACATTTCAAATATTTGAATATTATTTCTAATCAGATTTTTGAAATTTGCTAGGGAATCAAATTCAACAATGTTTTATAATATCAGCTAATTAATTACTTTGGGCTATGTAACTGATCCAAGTTAAAAATATTTTGTGTAGTGAAATTGCTGATTTGAATAATTGCTTGGATGAAACAACATCAGAGATATAGAATGATTGCCCATCTAAGGTATCTGTACATTTCCATCTTTTCACACCTATTTCCGCCACATTAAAGAACATTTATCTGTTTTCTGCGGTTCATGTTCCATTGGAAACATTGTTCTGAATCTGAACTATGAACTATGGCCCTTTGGCTGCAGCAATGCCTGGCATGTAACATACGGAATTGGGCAAGAGAGATTGGGTCATGCTTGGACGCTTATCCTTTTGACATCTCTGCTTCAAATTTCGTTTGTGTCTTCAGATGGTTTAGCTTATCTTCCATCAGAAAGCATTTTTCTCGACTGTGGCTCTTCATTAGAGCAAAGCCAATCGTATAAGGGTAGAAACTGGTCATCTGACATCGGCTCACAATTTGCAGCTTCTAATTCAGATAGCAACTCGACTCTCTCCAATGCCTCTAAAGGAACAACAGTCCCTGGAGTCCCTTACATGACTGCAAGGCTTTTCTACTCCAAATTTTCTTATACCTTTAATGTGACCCCAGGCCCAAAGTTCATTCGTCTTCACTTCTATTCAGATTCTTATGGAGGTCTCAATGCTTCCGAATCTTTTCTGACTGTCACTGCTGGTCGCTACACACTCTTGAGAAATTTCAGCTGCTACCTCACTGCCAAATACTTGAAAGTGGATTACTTTTTCAAGGAATTCATCATTCATGTTGAAAATCATACTCTAGAGTTGATATTCGGCCCTACTTCGGATGCTTCTAATGCTTATGGCTTTGTAAATGGAATAGAAGTTGTTTCCATGCCACTTAATCTTTACATTCGTGGCAACGACGTATATCTTCCTTTTGTTGGCTTCCATCCGAATGTGCTCTCATTTGACTATAATTTTGCCCTGGAGATGGTTTACAGAGCAAACGTGGGAGGCCAAACCATTTCCCCCGATCGAGATACTAGAATGTTCCGCACTTGGAATGCTGATGAGATTTATATCTTTGGAGCTGCTTTTGGCCAGCTAGATTATGATCTCACTCTTCCAATTCAATATTCAAAGATGGTTCCAGCTTACACAGCGCCTGAAGATGTCTACCGCACAGCTCGTTCGATGGGTCAGACTAATGAGATCAACAAGAACTACAACTTGAGCTGGTTCTTTCCAGTGGATACTGGTTTTAAATATCTAGTCAGGCTCCACTTCTGTGAGATTGTGCCTGGTATGACCTTGGAAAACCAGAGGGTGTTTTTCATATTCATCAATAATCAAACAGCTGAAAACCAGGCAGATGTGATGGTATGGAGTAAGGGGCATGGTATCCCTGTATATCGAGACTATGTTGTGATGATTCCGCTACAAACTGTTGGGAAGCAGGATTTATGGCTGGAGCTACACCCCAACATCCAAGTTAAACCTGAGTACTACGATGCAATCTTAAATGGAGTGGAGATATTCAAGATAAGCAACTTCGATGGAAACCTTGCTGGACTCAACCCTCCCATAGATGAGTCTAAGTTTCAGCCTTCTGCTGCACCATCCAAAAAGTCGAAGAAAGGATTACCAAAGGAAATTAAGTACTCAATTAGTGGGGCATTTCCACTCTTTTTCTTTCTCGTTGTTTTCTTGGTGATCAAAACAAAGAGAATATGGAAAATGAAAAAAACCAAGGATTCATCCCACTGTCGCTCTTTTTCTTTTAATGACATTAGAAAGGCAACTGACAACTTTGCTAATTCACTGGTTATTCTCGACTGGGGCTTTGGGAAGGTTTACAAAGGTTCCATTAATGGTATAGCTACATCAGCAGCTATCTTGCGAATGGCTAAGGCAACATCAGAAGAATGTTTCTTTGAAGAGATAAAAATGCTCTCTCAAATTCGCCATCACAACATCCTCCCTCTGCTAGGCTTTTGTCAAGAAGGCCTCGAGATGATCCTCGTGTATGAATACATGGATAATGGCACCCTCTCCGATCATCTTTACGAACATTTGGAAGAACGGAAGAAACCTCTGTCATGGAACCAGCGCCTCGAAATTTGCGTTGGAATTGCAAGAGGCTTGCACTACCTCCACACCGGAAAAAAACGCCCCATCATACATTGTGATATCAATTCCTCCAACATCTTGTTAGATAAAAATTTGACAGCCAAGATTTCAAATTTTGGATCAACCATGACATCCCAAATCAGCAATGGCTCGAGTATGGACGGCAGCATTGGTTCTCTAAATCTTGATTGGGATAAAAGATTTACTACAAAAACAGACGTGTATTCATTTGGGTTGGTGCTGTTGGAAGTACTCACTGGAAGGCCGGCGCCTGCGAATCTTAAAGCAGAAAATGATGAGAATGTAAGCAGTGGTGATGATCTCGAATGTTTGATTCCACCAGCATCACATTGTCTTGAGAAGGGAGATACTGATCAACTGGTGGATCATCATCTGAAAGGAGAGATCTCACCGGAATCTCTTCGAAACTTTGTAAAGATCACAAAACAATGCTTGGCAAAGAAAGGGGTCAGGCGGCCATCCATGAGTGAAGTGCTTTACGACTTAGAGCAACTGCTGATGCGCGGGGATAGCGACTCAAATGCGTCAACAAAGTGCCTATACCCACAAAGCAGCTCGGATTTGATGCTTGGGGTGGAGTTTTCTGATATCATGATGTCTACTAGTGGACGGTGATCAATTAAGTGCTAAAACTATGCAGGTACTCTTTCTATACTTCATGTTTAGATTTTTCTTTTAAAAATAAAACCCGAGTTAGATAAGGTTTTTCACTCTTTTTTTTTTTTTTTTAATGTATAGTTTAAAAATAAGGAAATGAAATACAGGTACTAAAATTCAAACTTCAAACTGATTAAAATTACTTTTTAAAAGTAACTTTATAAACTAATTAAGCTCAACTTTTGTTTCAGGTTTTTCAATCCTTTATGGAACGATCAGATATATTACTCACAAGGGATTTGTTCAATTGGTAAAAGGAGTTTTCTTTTCTCATCAATCTAGATTTGATTTTTATGGTAAACACTCTAAAAAGTAAAATCCTTAATGCACTATGTGAATTTGGAGGAGTTTGCCTTTAAAATCGTATGGAAAACAAATTAGATTAAAATCAAAGTAGTTATGAATTCTCAATGTATAATAGTTATGACCTTGTTTGAACTTAAATGGTATGTTCACTTCTTGTAACTCAAAAAACAGTGTAATAATTTACGCATATTAATAGTCATGTTTTTCCATTCTCAAATCACTATATATCACAGATCTCTCTCTCAATTCAAGGAGTGGATAGTTGTGTTGTATTTCAGCACATCTAGCTGGATTTTGTTGCGTGTGAATTTTATTTTTCAACATAATTACATTGCCATACAGCCAGGAAGATGCAGATTGATATATGCAAGATTCTATAACATTATGAAGAATGTGCAATGGATTTCATGGCCTGGTGGGTTGAAGAAGCTTGATGAAATTGGGAGTTTAGGGTACTTACTGAACAATCTTTAGTAGCAGACATTTTGCAAGGCTTGTTGTCATTGCCTCCTGGAAAAAGGAATAAATACAAAACAAATGAGTACCCTAACAATATATTGAATGAATGCTGCTTGTATGCCAATCCAACCCGAAAGACTAAACAACACAATCAAGAATCCGAAAAATTTATGTTACAGATGGATAAATTTGATGAGAAAATTCAAGGAACAGCAGCATTGTAAGTTACCTTCATCTCCTTCTCTTCCTGCCTTTACCTAATTGTCCAGATTTAAAGGCATGTTCCTGCTCTTGGAGAAAAGCTATAGACCGTCCATAGTTGGCTGCTCTTTCTTTTTCCAGTAATGCCTTGTCTCTTTGCTTTACCTCATACGAGAAATAATTGTCCTTCCGTAGCTCGCAAATTGCACCTTTAGCTTCACATTTTATGAGTTTTTGCAACTTTCTTCTCTCTGTTCGTTCGCGGTCTGGATCATAGTCTCTACCTTTAACAAAGCTGCAGGGTAACATGATCATTAGATGCAGTTACTTGTCCAGAGTCTAAATAGCACCACTGAATACTATGATTGTCAAGAAATTTAATCCAAAATTTTAAGTAATTTGATAGGCACTGGCTTATGCTTCACCAGCTGAAGTGGTCTCCGCAGCATATGAGTTCTGTCAGCTTTCTTCTTAAGGAGTTGAGAAACATCATTAAATATATCTTTCAGTGCCTCTGGTATGTGTTTCTGCTGTGAAACTTAAAGTAATAAATGTTGCGATCGGCAAGAATATTTCAGGAAAGGAATTCAATCCATCATAGATCTCAACAAATCCTCGCAAAGTTTCAGTCACAGTTCCCAGTGCACTAGCCCTGAACAAGAAATTTTATTTGTTATCCCATTGTCGCAAAAAACCAGAGAAAGGGGCATTCCATATAAATTGAAACCTAGCCCACCAGAATTAATGAAATGAACAAACAAAACAACAAACTAAAGCACTTCAACTCATCATAATTCATCAAAAACAACAATAAAGAACAGCATCAATTGCTGACCTGAAATTATCAGAGCTGAAAAATGAATCATCTGATGACATCTCCATTACCATGAGAAAATTCAGAGTCTCATCCACACAATCATGTATGTGTAACACGGCCCTGAGTGCTTTCACCTCCATAAGATGATAAAACTGCCAAGAAAGAAATGCCCATAAAATAGAACTTTAATCTGATAAGTTACACAAGCAAACATAAACATTAGATTATAAAACTATTGTCTCAATTATGGTTATTATTATTTTGCTACATACTTAGAAATCTAATAATGGGGGAGGGAAATCAGATAAGTAAAATGTCAGATTGATTCTTAAATCATGCCAAAATCAACCAATCGACTAAGTCAAAGTTAGATTTTTTTTTTCTTTCATTATAAATAATTGGACAGAGGGAATCAAGCAAGTTAAGCATCAAATTAATACCAATATCCTAATAAATGCAACAAGGCAAATATAGAATTCCTCTATTTCCTCCATTCCTAATTCGTTTTTCCCTTTATTCTTCATAAGCTCCAATCATGAGTCATAATACCTGAGAATCTTGCTCTGATGCTAGTTTTTGGTCTGTAGCTGACATCAACAGAGTTTGTAGGAACATTATAGCTTCAGGACAGAACTTTTGAGATTGTTTGGTTATCTACAAGTACCAAAATTGATCACGTCATTAACTGCAGCTACAAGTCAGGAAGAAAAAGCAGTAGCAACACAAAACTACAAGTTGTCATCAGTACATGGTACATTGGTAAACATGTGAATCAACTACGTAGTTGTGGCAAAGACCTGGTTTAAATCCCGCTTAAGAAAATAAGGGAAGGCTAGGACTAATAAATATATATGCACAATATTACAATTTTCAATAGTAACACCAAAAATTATTACAGCAGCATGCTTTAAAGTAGCAGGTTTCCGTGGCTTCAGGAAACAAAAAGTAAGCAAAAGAGAATAAAAGTCCTCACTATCTATTATGTCATAGAGTGCATCTTGGAAGAAACTTAGCACTCTTCCATCAATAAAGAAAATAAAAAGGAGGAGCCATGAACAGGTAAAACATAGGAGACCATTCTCCTATAAGACAAGATAGGGGATAGAGCGAAAAGATAAACAGTACATACCATGAGAACCATGGAAAATAAAAATGAACCAATAGCAACATCTCGACCCAACATTATGGGACAGCGCATCAGATATTCACACATTGATGATAGAGCCAGAGTCATGACAACATGGTGAAAGTCAGAGCATGGAAAAATCTTGGACCATAACCTCAGGAGAAACAATGTTGTCAAGGTAGGCCAGTATCCATTGTCTGCAAAACATAAAAATAGATCATTTCATAAGAAACCTGCAAATGACAAAGCTAGAGATAATAAAGTGGGACGGACCACTGACAAAAAGAATCAAGCTACCATAAACCTTGGTTCTTGAGAGCCTCACAAAATTGTGTGTGAGTTTGTAAGATTTGCCCATATTGCAGAGAAATATAGAATCTCCATACTCAATCTCCATTAGTGGCTTGATAAGCAGATTCAATAACTCAAAATTCAAGGGCTTCTTATTTGCTAACACAGCAAAATATTGCAAAAGAACACCATAAAATACCTGGCAAATAGCAGATATATCAGTTTTAAATGAATGATGGCAATCACAATGTTAGTAGCATAACAAAATGCTCTGCAACTACTCAATATAACTGTTCTTGCTGTAAACATATATTTTAGGAAATAAAAAACAATAATAGTAACAAAAATTTCCAACACCATAATTCAACATTTTTGTGAATATAATCCTTCAAAATGTACAATGTCTAACAAGATAATTGTATACTTCCTTGGTGAGAATTTGCAAGATGGATACATACACAAGTATACACAAACAAAAACAAATGCAAGCATACACACACACAGGGAAAGGAAAGAGCAACAAGAAGCAAGATTACTTGAATTTTCTTTCAATTTTCTGCAGCAAGCTTTATTGCATTGCTTGCCTGAATTCGATTGATAATCACAACAACATCAACATTAGAACAATTATCGAATAAAGAAGACAGTTCCTCTAAGCTTCTTGGAGCTTCAATTATAAAGGGAATGTCTTGTTTAGTTGAAGTATGTTTGACACGATTTGATTTTGTTTGCTTCCACAGACTCTACATCTTCTTTCCTAAGTTCAATTTTATTTGACTTGTTACAGCCTCTTGTCTCCACATCTTCATCAACAATGGCATCATTATGTTCTTCCTCCTCTTCAACCTCTTCCAAATCTGTACCAATATCGCCATCATCACTCTGCTCCCAATCCTTCAGAGATAGAGTCTATTCATGTTCATCATCATCATCATCTTCTTCAAATCCTTCATCTTCACTGGTATCTTCAGCACTTTTTGAATCTTCAGTAGCATTCTCATCTTCATCATCTTCATTCTCAGAATCATCTAAATCCTTTCTTTCAAGAATCTCATCAACCCAGCCTCTTTGACTACCAGGCTCCTCATCAAGTGCAAAGGGGTCATCAAGATCATCTCCTTAGACAGACCTTAGCCTCTGCGCAGAATTTTTATCAACATTTTCATCGCTAGAATAATCCGTTGCTAACATCCTCTTCTGATGCTATTCCTGGAATTTGTGGAATCCCAGATAAAGCATATGGGTCATAACACAGAGTCCAACATAAATACCATGTCCTGGTAGTGTTATCATCAAAAAAATAAAATAGAAAAGCTATCATATCAAATAAAAATCTTAGAAACTTATCGAAACTTTTAAATAACAATCTTATTTCCAACCAATAAAGCAGAAGATAACCCCCAGTTTTATGTGAATTTCCATCTCACAGAAAACCTCTATCAACTTTACAGCCTATGAACTGTAGCTAAATTTAATAGCATCTCCAAATAAAATTGAACCATGTAAAAAGCATATACAACTAACAAAAGTAGTTGAGTATTGACCACAGATACCTCTAATCGCTCGAGTTGCTCCCTTTCCTCTTGGGCAATCTCCTCAGGTGTTTTTGTCCTGTCTGACGGCCAAGCACGCATATCCAATACCATCTCATTGATAAGTTTATCATATGAGTCAGGTTGTTGCTGTCAAATAAAGTAAAAAGAGGTTTTAATGCTTGACATTGATTATGCATCAAAGTATACCTGTATCTGAAATTTTGAGAGACATAACGTTAATTTCAGTCATAATTATGGTAAGAAAGCTTTCTTTTCTTCAAAACTAAAAGCAACAATGTTTTAATGCTAACTGGTATAAAACACCTTCTTGTCATCATACTTCTTAAACTGTGAAGAAATATGGCGTGCTAAAGTAGGATTTCAGAAAACAACAATAGCAAATAATGAAGACAGAAGTTTGTATGGACAAGAGTGCTCATCCAGCAAGGCTAGTTTAATAAGATAGAGCCTAGAACCATAATTCTTTACCAGCTTATAAGTTTCTGCTCTCTGAGTAACTGGTAACTCTTCCTTTTTCACATGCTCATTTGGAACGCTTTGGTTCACAAGAGCTTTCAAGGCATTCATCTTGCCCGGTTCAGTGAGAGACAATAGGATGTGGGACTCCACTAAAGATGTGAAGTTCTTATCTAATTCTTCCATCAACTGCTCATTTTCTTCATCTCTTGCTTTTTGTGCCTGGTAAGAAATAAGAAAAATAAAAAATTAGAGACCAGATTTCAAGACTCAAGAGCAGTCTGGAAATAATACAGTTAACTTTATGGTGCATCTGAATTTTACCTTGAAATACTTGCTCTTCAAAATAACCTCCTGCATTATTTCCTTCTTGGTTCTGTGCTTCTGTAGCATGAAAGCCATCAATTTAAGTCACGTTTTAAGGCATCTAATAACACATCACGATTACATGCTCCACAATGAATGCACAAAAATCCAAGTGCAAATAGGGAAGAGATAGGGAGAGAGTATAACGTATGCATGTACAGTCACTTCCACTGTAACTCCTATTGCTTCATATTGTGGATATCAACAATTGAAATAGATCACCTTTAAGAGCTCAACCTCAGAAAACTTTACCAGTCAGATTAAGAAAGGGGAAATTACCCAGGCAAAAGCGTGTTTTTCATATCACATTACTACAAATGTTATGACAAAATGTGTATACCGGAAGACACAGGAAAAAGGATTCTTTAGCAGCTAAAATTTGAGTATACTAATCACTTCATATATGACTTGAATGATTTTGCATGAAATTGAATATCATTTAATTGACATAGATAACCCATAAAGAAGATAAGACCAAAGGAGCGGAAAATATCAATTTGGACTAGCAAAACACCAATGTTCTGATTCTGCAACACGCCAGAATCAATAACTAAAGGTTAAGGCCTGATCAAACAGCTAACCAAGATTATAGACTGAAAATGAACTAGCATTTGAAGATGCCTTTGTAGGATAAATCTGCCAACGTAATCATGATTACAGGCTCCAAAGAATTCAAAACAAGCTAGTCATAAAAAACTTGCAGAGTGGATCATCAAACACAAATATGAACAAGTATCTCTTAATGAAAAAGAATGGGTCTTACATTTTCCTCTCCTTCCATCAAATCCCCTTCCAATGGACTCTGTGCACCATTAGAATTAAGTTGCTTTAAGATGGCTGACATCATTAACAAAAGCTAGATTGAAGTTTATCAATGCTGCCAACCAAGTTTCAAAATATTTTTCTCTGTTTTATTGAGTTTCAACTACATGGTAAGAATATATAAAGAAGAATATGAAGTCCTTGCCGTAGACTGAAGTCTGACAAACAAACAGCAGAGATTAAAGCCACTTATGTATTGTATATGAAAAAGCTACAGTAGGGAAAAGTAACACATTATTTGAACAAATGAAAAAGTTATGAGGAATTTAGGATTATAAATAGACAAATTATAAATTCATTATCATAATGGAAAGCAGAAGTCAAATCTCACGGTTGTCATCATCATTACCATCGTCAGACAGCATATCTTCCTCAAAATCATCCCTCTCAGGAAAGGAACCAAAACCTGGTGCGACGAACTCATCTTCTTCTCCATCTGATAAATTGAACTTGCCCTTTTTTCCCAATTTCAACTATAGAACCAAAAAGAGATAAAAGAAAAAGAAAATAAAATGGAATATTAGAATTATATAGACTTAACCCCAAAAATTAGCTATTCTCTTTCCAATTATGCAAATAGTAGTAACCAAGAAAGCACATGAAAACACGACTAACAAAATAAAAGCCAAGGTCAATAAAGTCAAGTTCTAGCAACATTTATTCGATATTTTATTCAAAAAAGAAAAAAAAAAACTGTTATGAATAAAGGAACTCATCCAGCTTCCATTCTCCCTAATATTCTTCAGGCAATGCCCAATTCACTAAATTTTCTATTCCAGTTTCAGCAGAACCACCTTAATTTACATTAATAGTAAGCCACAACTAAGCAAAAGCTTTAAAATTTCACTAAGGAAAAAGCAAAAGACACAAACTTTTATAAGCCTCAATAACTATAACAAAGTTTCTAAAACTCCCAGAAAAAATATATATGTATGTATACATACATATGAATATAGCAATCATTTTTTGTCTACAATGGAAACCAATCAGTTAAAAGAACTAAAAAAAGCATTTTAAAAGAAACCAACCTGACGCTCACGCTGAGATCACATAATATCCTTTTCAAACTCTCCCAAGTTATCATTTTGCTCTCCAATTCTCTTACCCAAAAAAATAGAAGACTTTGTACTTTGCTCGTACTCTTTCAGCAGCGTTTTCTTTCTCTGAAACAAACCCAAAAGACTCTCATTAACACAAGTAACAGAGATAAATATAAACAGAGACAAAAGTGTGAGTTTCAGGGGTAGCCCATGCCTTTTGGATGGCGAGGGAACGAGCAAGGCCAATCCGGCGTTCTTCTCCCTTGCGTTTCTGGCCAAGCATGTCGAACTTGCAGCGGGACCAGATGGTCTCGAAAGGGTTGGATTTTTAAGCCTTGAGCTTCATGGAGATGGCATCTGGGGCTGCCCTTTTTGCTGTCCTTCTTCCTTGTTTTCTTCTTGCTTTTGGCTTCCCCACTTGAATGATTAACCATAGGCTGCTGCGACATGGTCATATGAAAGGGCGGTTGAGAAGAACAGGACATGAAGGAAACGAAGAAGAATTACAGGGGTTCACAGTTTTGGGTTCTGTGCGGGGTTTATTATGGTGGGCTTTGGGTTCGACATTTTTGTGGTGATAGGGGCCGAAATCCTCGATGTTGCTTGGATAAAGTGCTTGCTCCATGTTGAAGGAATAGGGGGCCCAAAAGTTATGACAAGTATCAGACTCATCCATATTTCTTCCAATTGATGGCCTATACTCCATGTACGATGGGCAAAGAAAAGGTACGAGGAAAATTGCTTGGGAGTCTGTTGCATTTATGTCGTTATAAGTGCAACAATGAAGTGCATTTGAAGCATGCATGACCAATGGGTCACTGCTCCAATAACAGACTGTCCACCAGTTTTATGTGGCCAATCAATGTAACTATCTTGTTTGGACTTTGGAGCATGAATAGAAATGGATTTAAGTTATAGCCTCAGCAGCAATTGTTCAACAGTTCAAGTCCATACATTTTCTAGTTGGATTTCTGGCACCAACATTCTAGCATACAGGGTTGATTTGGCGGTCAACCCCCCCTTTGAAATGGTCTTTTTGAATAAGTTGGTCTATAGATTATAGAAACATGGCAATATCACACAAAATTTGCCAATTAATCAGATCGAAAGCATTTCTTGTAAACCAACTGAGATATAGTTACAAGGTTAAAGCAGAAACCATGTCAAAGACCAAATTATTGTAATTACAACCATGCATGGTGCAGTTATGGTGTGTTGCAGCTTCAGAAAAGCTGATCATCCTGCCAGCATCTCTGCTGCAACAAACGTCGGCAATTTGAGGAGGATCTAAGAGTACCAACCCTGTTCTACCTGCTGGTATAAATTGCAAAAAACCAAAATTTGTTGAACTATGTGCTTCTTTTAGGCCACTGCAGCATCCGGAAGAGACCCTGAAGTGGTCAAGGGACCCAATTGTCTTTCCCTTCAGCCATAATCGCCAGGGCCACGAAAAATGACACAACACAAACTTTTTCATTCACACACCAAACCCCCTTTTCCTTTTCTCAATATACATTAGTAGCGTTATTTACAAACCATAACACTGGAAAAATCACATATATTCTGGAGTAAGAATAGAATCCTCAATCCCCTCTGTTGAAAAGAGTTGGTAGGAAATAAAAAATAATGCTGCTTTGTTTAAGCCAAGAGCCAGAAATCTTTGTGCCGCTTAGTGGTGATCAAATAACCTCCAAGTTTTTTGCTTTTCCGTCTTACTGCAACTACCATGCAACTAGCATTCTGGATACAGTAATCGACAACTCCACCAGTTACCCGGTTCCCCGCCCACATCATGATGAGACGCCTAGTCATGGACCTTTTTTTCTGTCCCAAAACCAGAAGTGCTACTCCTTGTTTTTTGGCCTCTTCAACTATTGTTGGACCTTTCTCTTTTCCCTGCACCACTGCTACGTCAACTTCAACCTGCCAGACCAAAGCCACAGCATTAGTATATGTGCCTTATGAACAGCTAATAACCAATTTACTTATCATTTGTAAACTGAGAACAAAACTAAGTAAAATTTGAGGTTCAGAACTGGGAAGATTAAATTTAAAGGATATATCCGATCCAACCCGCCTCTGGTCTCTTCTGCTTGCACATATTTTTCAGGGAGGAAACTGGTTCACATGCCCTTGGACTTGGAGCTTCGCTCTTATCGGACACATCATTTGTAACTGGCACTGTATTAAGTTTTTCAACTATACTAATCAGTTTATCTCTTTACATGAGTGATTCTAACCAATAAGCAAAACTTTTTCAGGGTAAATATATGACAAGAAAATAAAGAGCTCCAACCTTGTTTCGAGGGCTTTGTCACATAAAGAAGAATAACTGTGTCCTGACAGTGGACAGTGTGAGAGAGTGCCCATTGTATAGCTTCCGTGGCTTCAATGCTGGAATCAACCACGATCATGATGTTCCTTCCAATTACAAACCCAGGTTTTTCTCCATTGCTGGATTTATCTTCTCCAACTTTGCCACAAATTTCATCCTTTTGATCAGTGTCAGAAAAATTCACATTAGGCTTGGCTTGTATTGGAGGAGACCGGACTCTAACATGGGGCCTAATCCTGTTTAGGCAGAAACCTGGTAACCTTGTGCCTGTCCTGCCCATCTCCTGAGTCGGCTACTAGGCTAGACACCAAATAATTATAAGAAGGTAAACAAGAAGAGAAGACAGCAACAATTAGACATCGCCTGTTGCTGAACCAAATTTCTAGATGTTGATTTGGGGCTTTGGGCCACGGGTTATTTCTTCTAGCTTTGCTTTTTTTTTTTTCCTCTTTTGCTTTCTTTTGTTTGTTAATCATGATAACCGGTCTTTGATTCCTTTTTATTTTCCCTTGTGGGGCTATTCCTGAAGGTGTCTATCATGAAGCTGTAGGCCCATCCCTCCTAGACCAGCTGCTTGGCCCCCGATCATTCTGCCATGTTAGTGGTAATATCCAAATTCTCTGTTCTACGGCTAATTGCAAGAATGCAAAGCACTATGTCATGCTCATATTATGAACTGGTCTTTGAACTCCAATTTTCTTTTCTTAGAGGATGGAGGGAGGGGGCTGCTAAAGATGAATCAAATATTTAAAAAAGGTAATGAATGGCATTGAACCTTGCAGTTGCAGGTTGCAGCTCTTCACCCTCTAAGGGTAATGATCATCAGGCGCAAAGGCCTATGAGAAAATGCCTTCAAAGAAAATGAAATCAAGGGGAAAAAAAATCCTTCCTCTTCCTGGAAAGATATTATACTATGTTCTGTTGATAGTTGAAGTGACAGAATGTAGGCCTATTTTAGTTCTGGAGTTGAAATTGATCCCAATTTTTGTTTTTGAGCGACTGAAATGCTTCAGACTGATGAATCTGCATCATTCATATTCACTAGCAAACAAATATTCAGTAGCTGTTGAATTCCTGCGATGATAAGTCTGCCTGAAAGAACATGATGTGACAAAGAAATGGCGGCCCACCGAAGCAAAATAGATTGATTGACAAGAAGAATAAGCTAATTATATAATCAGATTCACTGTTGCAGATTCACCTCATAATATACACTTATCATAAAAAAAACAAATAAGCTAATTATATAACAAAACGATGAGAACGCGAGACAATGGCACATTGCGGAAAATTTCAAAACAAAATTCACACAATCATCATCAGCCTCTGGTTGATATAAGTTCTACTTTAGGTAAGATATAATGATAATTATGGATGAAAGAATTTCCATTCCTAGTTTGGTATTGTCACCATCTTCTGCAATGATTATTCCAAGATTAACAATATTTATGTTTAGGGTATAATCATACTAGAACTAATCTGTAAAGAGAGTTTTCATTTGTTTCTTCGTTCTTGGTGGTTTATCTAGTGTGAATCAAACGCTACCAGCTCATCATTTTAAGAATAACATATGATTAACACAAAAAAAAAAAAAAATTGTGTTAGAAGTTCTTCCGCCAAAAAGATTGATTGAGTTGGTAAAATCAAATACTTTGCTTACAAGAGCTAGTTTCGATTCTCATTGCCAATAATCTCTTTGGTAGACGATCTGTAAATCTAATGTAAGTCCTCTTTAAGACGTACAATCTTACCTATATTTGAAGTTTGAACTAAAGCTATAAATCTAATATAAGTCGAAAAAAAAATGAATAGCCAAAGCAAAAAAGAGAAAAAGGGATTCAAATCTATGATGCAAATTTGCAACAAAAGTTCTGATGATTTAGAATAATCTAACAAATTAGAACAGCTCTGAGACATAAACTGACTTTTCCTGAACACAAAAATCTTGCTGCATTACTTGCAAAAGTAAGGCCAAATAGGTGAGAGATCCTTTCCAAATTTCAACTTCAATCACCCATGTCTCACCAATGTCGCCAATCTATTAGTTACATTCCTCAAAACTTTTACCATCATAGATGAATATTGTTATGAGCAATAAGTAATACTGGCAGCCTAGATTAACTGTACCAAGACATTTTACTTTGGATCCAAATTCTGGTCTATGACCATTCAAAATTCCCAATTCAGAGTAATAGATAATAGAATATGAGGAAACAAATCTCCATTTCGACTGCTTAACTAGAAATTGGAAGATTCATAGGATACACTTCAAGATTGAGTTGCAAAACTCTACTATGTATCTTTTATTTATAATTTTATTTTAAAAATCATCTTAAAAAAGATTCACCATAACTTGATATATATATATATATTAATATAATACAGTAATGAAATTATTGACACAAGTTTTTTAAGATTGAAATCGAATTTTTTTATAAATAGGAAATACATACACTTATTATTAAGTAAAAAAGTGTAAATATATTTTCACAAGTATATATAAGGCCAAAAGCTTATTAAGTTAATTCATACACAAAATTTTGAAAAAGAAAATTTTAAATTAGATGCTATTTTAATTTACGAAAAATATTATACATATAAATTAATTTCTAACATTTTATTGGAATTATATAATTATTCATTAATCAATTGTAGTGTGTATAAGTTATTGGACTCTTAACTTAAATGATTTGAATTCAATTTGAAAAACCTTAATTATCAAAATATTAAAATTTTTTTAAATTTATATTTGATGCACTATCAATATATAAATTTTATACATTATTAATGAATCAGACGATATCATCCCATCAATGACTAAACATAAATTTTTATTAATTTTAAAATAAATACACAAAATTTTTTTTTAATTCTCATTAATAAATTACTATTATCTGATTTATTTTTATACATTGATAATATATTAAATATAAATTTTTTTTTATTTAAACTTTGTCAAGTAAATTACAAGTAATTAATGTTAAATCCTTAATCAAAGTTGGAGTAATTTGTAAGTAATTATAAAGATAGCCTCCAATTTTCAAATATATTTCATTTACAATTTTTTTTACAATATTATAATTATTTAATCATATTAAAAAAATTATATAAGAGGTGAACTTTATATAAAATTTTAATAAATTTCACGTAATTCTTAATTATAAATATTAATTACAATAAAATAATTATATATAATATGCTTTTTCAATTTCCATGTCAGCAAAACAGCGGCACAAAAAGAAGTATCGTGGGTCCCAAAAATCGTTATGTTCGGCGCTTTTGTCGACGAAGAATCCTACGCAGCTGAGGTTTAAACTGATAAAAGTTCAACTTTAGAATCTTTTGTTTTCCTCCTCCCACTCCAAGTTGAACCGTAGAACATCTTCTTCTTTATATATTATTAATCATAATTCCTTGTCGCATTCGTCTAATTTTCTCTTTTTAATTAAGTTTAAATCTTTGTTGTTTTCTTCTTCTTTGAATGTACCGAGGACAGTATTTCCAGTTCGATCACTCTTTTTCTTTGTTTCAAACTATAATTTGGATTCATCACTGCCTTCTTCAAGCTAAGGTTCTTGGGTTTTTTTTCCTCTTTCTTTCTTCTTTTACATGTTTTTGTGTTGTAATATATGATCATTGGTTTAGTAGGTATAGTAATAATGAGCATATATATGGGGATTTGTTGTAGAGTTTCTTGATGGTTAAGTTCCCTTTGATTTTATTGATGAAGATGGTTTTTTTTATAATCATAGTGAATTGATTTATTGATGATCTCGTTTCTCATGATGTCTGTCTGATGACTATTGGATTTTTTTCTCAACTTTTCATGTTAAATTTGTGTGAGGGTTTGTTGTTTTTGCTTTGTTTCTTCGTCCTTATTCTATAGATGACAGACAGAATTGCTAGTGATGCATTCCCTGCTTTGTTTAATGAAGTTGTGGTTGTGATTGTTGTTCAGGGTTGAAATTTGAAGCAGAAATTAAAGCATGATCATGGGAAATATATGTAGTTGTTTCCACATCAGGGAGCCTGAAGAAGATGTTTCCACTTGTCAGAATTGTACCTGTCCCAATTGCATCATTCATACCCTCTTGGACAAGGTATAATGTCAAATTTCATGTGTTCTTCTCTATCTTCAATTGCATTTTTAAAAAAGATCTTAGTGCTTTGTGTAAAGAATTTCACTTTGCTTTAGTAATTTCTATGACAAGGGTGCCATATTTTATTGTCTCTTTGAGTTGGCTACAAGACTGAACTTTGTTTTATTTATTAGGGGAATGAAGTTCTTTCTCTTGAACATGAAAGACCTTCAATTTGGAGAAGTTTTTTTTGCTTCGTTTAGAAGAAAGCTGCCATTCCTATTCTGATTCTATGTTTTTGAGCTACTGGTTATTGTTTCAAGCAATCATCGGTGGAATAATTCGAAAGTAACCATAACGTTCTTGATGCCTTTTCCTTGACCAATATTACCTAGTTACCATGAAACGTTTTGGCCAACATGACAAGTAACCATGACTGAGAACATAAATATATTCATAGAGTCATCCTTGATCATAAGAAACAGAATTTGATATCCTGAATATGATTTATGTACAATTGTGTTCTAATAGAAATTTTCCATAACGCATCTTTACCTTCCCAAGCTTATATAAATTCGTTCAGCAGTATACAGGAATATTCAGCAAGGAGCAATCGGATGCCCCAACTTCGACTGCTCAAGTGGCAGCCCCTTTGAGTTCTGATGTTGCATCTAACAATATACAATCCAACCATATTGTCACATCTGCTCCAAGAATCTTGCATTTTGATATTGCTGATGCTACAAGCTCCAGTCAGAAACAGGATGGGCAGATTAGAGAGCAGGAGAATGGTCAAGTTGACATGGAGCATGACAGTAACAAATCAACCGGACTTCAATTCGAAGGGACATCAATAGCACAGTCCCAATTGAAGTTCTCATCTGAGAAATCTGAAGCTGAAGTTGCTTGTGCCTGTGAATTATCAGAAGATGAGGATGTTTGTCCCATATGTCTTGAAGGTAATACCTCTTGACTACCTGTATAAAAAAGCTTGCTTATTTCCCAACCGGCTTATAGATCAGGTGAATTGGGCTTTAAAGTACATTAGCTTACTTTCATTCATTACCCTTTCTTGATTTCTCCAATTGTTTTTCTGTTGCAGAATACATCCCTGAAAACCCAAAGATTGTTCTTCAATGTTCCCATGGTTACCACCTTAGTTGCATATATGAGTGGATGGAGAGATCAGAAAGCTGTCCAATTTGCGACAAGGTAATTCATTTCTTATAAGCTTGTACGATTATTCCCTTTTTTTCTTGAGATTTAACAGCTGTTCTGAGTTTTGATAATCATTAGCTATGAGATCAAACTATCAAATTATCATAATAGCATCATGATCTCATTTAACATGCCATTCTTCAAACATCGAGAATCAGATGTTAAACAGGAGCTAGCTATAAGCTCTTCATGTGATAGGTGAACAATTTTAAGTTACAATGGGGACTTCATGCTTCTAGTTTGATTTTTTATATCAATTGCCAAGTTTTCCTTCATATTATGTTTTGAAGATACCTCATAATTTCTGTGTTTTTCTCTCAATATTGTATTGGCATTTTCCTGGTGCCTCTGACTGACTAGGGATTGATTTTGTAGATGATGATATTTGATGAAGCAACTTGACATCGGATTACGAGACACAGAAAACCAAAGATGAACAGATGGTTTTATAACTAGTTTTACAGTCACATTTCAAAAGTTTTTCCCAGTTTATAATAGATGAGAAAGAGATAAAAGTTGTGCTCATGTACAACTGCAAGAAGCATATGCTTTTTTCTAAAATGAACATTTGACAGGAAAATTTCCATGTGACACTCCAAGTAGTCTAGTCTGATATCCTTCTAATTTTAGAAAGAGATACAGGTTCATGATACACCCATGAGTTAAAAAAAATTCCCAATGAATATTTTGACTGAAAAAATGAATTGAAAGCAAATGTCTTAAAGGGAAATAATAATTGAGTCTTTTCCTAGCTTTTTCAATTTGCTTAACCTTTCATGTACCCACATGTTTTGTGAATGTTCAAAGGGGAACCAAAAAAAGGATTGGATATGGGCAGTTCAGAAAGGATTCCTCCATATGGGAAGGGGACAATAGTGGCTTTGCTGGATTTGTATGCTCTTAGGCATAGCTTCTTATTCTTGTGTAAAATCTGGGTGCCAGGAGTACTGATTCAAAATAATGGAGTAGCAACCAAAACCATCATCAAATCAAACCCATGCTTTTAAAGCATATGGCCTGTTTTTATAGGTTTGTGTTTAAAACTTTATATTGTGCAGAAATAGCTGGCCCCTGCTATATATGTACCATAATATTAATCATATAAATTGCAGATTGCAGATATCAACTTCCCCAAAGGCCAATAGCATTTGTTTTTTGATTGATGGAGTATAATTTGGGAAAATAAGCTAAGCTACTGTAAGTTTATCAACATCTTCACTTGTGTTATCTGTTATAAAGTGTAAGTGTTGGACTTTTAATTCTGACGATGAAGATTTAATCCCAAATAACCACACACTTTTATATATATATATTCATTTCATAGCATGTCTCTGGAACCTGATAGTCTCTAAACAAAGTTATAAAGGCCAAAAAAAACCCCCTTTTTCAAGACATACTTATAAGGAAACACTGCACTATCTGTGTAGCTAGAATCGCCACGTTTAATGGCTTAACCAAGCAAACTTTTCCATATAATTCTTTTCAATTTTGAGAATTTTCTTTCATTTTTGTTTCATTCCAAAGCCAATTCCACGTAACCCACATATCCAAAACTCCCTCCTTATCTTGTCTGATCATTTTTCTTTAAAAGCTGCCTTGTTGATGACCCAAGATTGAGAGTGTCCAATTAGATATTGCAAATAAGATTTATGGCCACTACAAAGACTGGTAGTGCATGCCAGCAGGTAAGACTCTTGGCCACTACATTGGCTGAGATTAGGGGACAATTTAGGGTCAAAGTTCCTTCCACTGTCTTTGCAAAAAAGACACAATATTTGGTATTTGTGGGGTCTTCCATTGGGCCTTTGCTCCCTGAACCAGAACCTTGGATGGGCTGAAAAGAAAAGTTTGGCTCAAACTAGGTGTAGGGGTACTGAATTTTGACAAACGGTGTTGGATACAATATCTTGACAAAAGTGCTAGCTCTTCTTTAGCTTTAGGACTTCATTAATTATTAACTTGAAAAATCCATCTGTTTAGTCTAATACCATACCAACTATGAAATGAAGAGGGGAATGCAACAAAGACCTTGAAAGAAAACATAGGGTAAGATCAGATGGGACTGCTCAAAGAACCATGGCCATGAAAGGGAGCTTTAGGAATGCATGGTGCATAACAAAAGAAAGCAACCCAACATAAAACATGAATCCATCCAAGACTACATGAAACATGGGCAAGAGTTGATGAAGACACTAACTAACATTAAGTAACTGACAAGCGTTCAACGGAGATTGGAAGTACCGTGTGCTAGCTGATGATGATGATGATGATTTTGATCTTAACCAAAACAGCCTAACGCGGGCCAATTGCATGTGCCCACCATCCAATCATTTTCATACTTCTTTCCCTGGTGTAGGACCTTCCTGGACCTAAGATTTCAGGCACTTGATTTATATTACCAGGTTAAATGAACTTTTCCCTTCCTATCTTGCTATTTATGCCTTAATTATATTTTAATTAAGAATTCAACACTCTCTCAACAGATCACACTTCTATTACAGAAAGGACAAGTGGGTATGAGAATTTTATTTGTTTTTGTTGCTTATCCAAGTAGAAGCACATCTAAGTCTAGCTTAAGAATTGGGGGCAAAAGCTAGCCTTTTTCCCTGGCAAATTTTAAGCAGAGATCGTGAGCAGATTTGCTCGAGATAGAGACAGTGAAGAATCTTCACAACTCAGCCCCAAAGGTTGATTTTGCTTTGGATGTTCTTGTTGGAAAAGAGGAACCGAAGGACCACCATACATTAAAGTTTTTCCACATCATTAATTCACTGCAAAAAATTGGCTAGAGACCAAGTGATCTTAATGCAACTGTCATGATCATCAAACTCAAAACTTGGCCTTGTTGGATCTTCTAAGTTGATCCAGCAAAGTTTCTGAAAGAAAGCTAACAAACAATGTCATCATGCAAGCCACGTGTGGCCTCCCGGTTCGGGATGCGTGCACGTGTGTCATGGTCTATATATATACCCACACACGCACATGCTGGCTGCAACAATTGGACCCAGAAGGAAGAGATGGGGATTTCGTTTTGATATATAGGCCAAATATAAGGAGTATTGAGTGACTAACCCAATACCTGAATAGATGGTTCAGGGAGAAAACTTGTCTAGCCACTTCAAAAATTCCTTGTCCTCACATTTTTCTCAGTTTTACGAGGAAGGATCAATCTTGAATTGCCTGGAATGATCTCCACCTTTGATCTAAAAGTGGAAAAGCCTGTAAGAAAATTGCTAAGCATATCCAAATTCAGACCCTGAAGTAATACTCTCCTACTCTTTGTTGAAATAGATTTCATTGTCTATAGCATTACATGATTCCACTCATTGATGACGATCCTTTCAAGATTGAAGATTCTTTGTCTTCCTGAGGTTTTTTAAAAATCCTAAGCTGGTTTCTGTCACATTCCTCTTCCCTTTTTTTCAAGTAAAACAAGTTATCAGGTGTATTGACAAAGACATGGTCGGAACCATATTTAAATCCAAAAATGGAAAATGTAAAAATATTAATATGATGCCAAGAATAATCCATGATTCCAAACCTTGTCAAAGTAAGGATTGAATCCTGAAACTCAAGCCACTGTTCAAGTTCTGACCCATACCACTAGTAAATTTTTATTGCTAGCTCGATCAACTCGAAGCTTTAAACCCCAGAGCTTCCCCAAAGAGGGGGCAGCCAGATATTACTGGGCCATGGTTGGTTTACATCAGTCAAAGGTAACTTAAAAGGCAATTAATTAGAGCCCTTATAATGAAAGAATCTATCAGTAAATCTATTAATTAAAGAGTGAATTACAAGCTCAATAAAAGAAATGACGGAATGAGCTTAGAGTTTAATTTAATTGATTTCTACAATCATTTTTAAAAAATAACATATAACATATCTCAAGTTTAAATCTTAACATTTATCTCAAATTATCACCACTTTTGTACCAAGAAAAAAAAGAGATGGGATAAGATCTACTAAATTCTGTAACCCTGTAATTAATGTAAATTGTAATGATAAACAGGTCAAGTTTGCAGAAGTACACTTCATTGAACCATGGGCAACAACCACTCAAAAGCCAATCCCACTAAAACAGTGTAGTCCCTAGAATCCAAGGAAACACCATGTGTTTGACACCCACCATCCACAACACCGGCTCTGGTTTTCTCGGTATGAGAAGGATAAAAGCTTGTTTCCCTTCTACCCCACTTCCCTTCTATAAAACTAAAGCACAAATTCACATCAAGGTGGGGTCTCTTCCAAAAACACTCTTCATCATATTATATTATTGGACAGTGCAATTGATTATTATTGTTAGTACTATAAAGCTACCCTTCCCACAACTCTCAATCACTTCAAACCCTTCAAACTCACAATCCCCTCTCTTTACAATCTCACCACTTTCTTTTCTTTTTTATGGTTTCATTCCATCCCTTTGGTTTATTGATCTCTCCCAATAAATACCTTGTGCACTTGTGACATAAACCCCCCATAGCAGAAGCATTTAATTTCTGACCATGTCTGTTACAGGAGTTTCAGACCCTGATAGAATGTTCAAGAAGCCATTCCATCGCAGGAATGACTCTGGTGAGCTTGATGTGTTCGAGGCTGCAAGGTATTTTTCAGGGTACAATGAAACGGGTAGCTATAATTGTGCAACATTTACTCAGAAGATCATGCGGGAAGAGAGGCAGCCATCGAGAGGAGGCAGGATCAGCTTGGATGTACCGATGAAAAACCCTCTTCCTCAACAAACTCATGTGGTGGAAAAACAAATTAAGGAGAAGAAATACAAGCAACCAAGTTCTCCAGGTGGTAGACTTGCAAGCTTCTTGAACTCTCTTTTCAATCAAACAGGCTATAAGAAGAAGAAATCAAAATCTACCGCACACTCCATGAAAGATGAAGAAGAGAGCCCTGGTGGGAGAAGGAAAAGGAGGAGCAGCATTAGCCATTTTCGTAGCTCTAGTGCAGCAGATGCAAAGTCCTTTTATTCTTCTTCAAGTTCTGGTTTCAGGACACCACCTCCTTATGCACACACACCTACAAAAACCTACAAGGAATTTAGAAGCTATTCTAATCACAAGCAAGTGGTATCTCTCCCAAAGAATAATAATATTGGGCAAACAAAATCTGCAGCTTTACAAAATGATCTCTTGGATGACAAAAGGAATACAACAGACTATTCTTGGTTGGATGAGAAACGCAAGTTCAATGATGGCTACTCAGAAAAACACAAGAATCTCGGTACGCGTCATCAGGAGAAGGATAGGAATTTTGCTGATCGATATCCATCAGAGGAGAAAGAATTCAGGAAGTTCAATGATGTTGATGATGGTGCAGATAGTGATTCAAGCTCTGATCTGTTCGAGTTGCAAAACTATGACTTAGGCATCTACTCGAGTGGTTTGCCTGTGTATGAAACCACACATATGGACAGCATCAAGAGAGGAGCACCAATTTCCAATGGCGCCCTATGAGTATACATTTTCAACATGTTGATGGGTTTCATTTGTTTTCATTGCCATTGGAGGCTGTGATAAGAAAACTGATGCCCTAGATTTTGCTTTCTTTTTCCTCATTGCCTGCTTCTTTGAAAGTTCGTTGAATGTTTTTTTTTTTTTCTGTATGTACAGTTTGGAATGTTTGTTTGTCTTACCTTTCTCAGTTTTCTTTTCTCTTTTTCTTTCCTTGGAGCTAGCTTATTTCATTTCGTGGATTAATGCAAACACATTAAAAGTCCCCCATTGGAATTTTTTTGCTTAGATTGTGCCATGATTAGTGATTGTCCACAAAATTAATGGAGAAACATCACGAAAACTATCATCACATCACACTATTTGGATTATATCTTCTATTCTTTTGACTTGGATAATAAACAATAATAGGTTACACATTAATTAATATTTCCTACTTGCACGTGTGATTCATGTAAGTTTTGCCTTTTTTTTTTTTTTTTACAAAAAAGACCATAATATGAAAAAAGAAAAAAAATTAAACGTATTGAAATTTAAATTCTGAATATTTTGAATATTACTTATTAAAAATAACTGTATAAATCAATTAAATTAAATATTGGATTCTATTTTTCATGAAAAAGGAAAACAAACATTTATAATGTAAAAGAAATTCTATAAGTTTTTGCATGCTTGATGATTAAGCCACCTCATAACAAATCTGTCGGCAAATTTAAGGGCTCCCTTCCTCCTGTAGACTTGATCCAGCTGGAACAAAGTTTGGCCCCTATTTCATGTTAAATGTTAATGCCTATATCTGATCTATATGTAGAAAGATATTTAAATGTTAAAGTTCAGTTCGGATCAATGTCCAATCATTTTTCAGTAAATTCAATGAACTTAATTATAGGCTTTCTAGTCTTCAGCTTCTTGATCCAGTGGTTAAGAAGGCTTAAGAAGACAATAAGGTAGAAGTTCAAACCCTACCATTCCCATCTTCTATCCCCTATCCAGTGGATAAAAAAAATTACAGGCTTTCTATAATTTCATCATTTTTGCATGTAGAGGACATGCCTGATAGATGCATTGATGCAGAAAGGTGGGTTAAGCAGCAGGGAAGTTGTAAAGCATGGAAGGGTAAAATATCGGAGGGACGTTTTATCATCCCAATACTGAACTTTCACCTAAGCCCCAAATCATTAAGAGTTTGATAAATGTCACACATAATCAATCAGACAATCAACATCGAAAGTCAAGTATTGTTTATACACTATATTTTCTAGTGAAAGCATATGAACAAAAGCCTAAACTACATGATAAGCCTAAACTACACGATCCATTAAGGATTGGATGGAATAATTAATTAAGTAAAGAACCAACTTTAGTACCAATATAGATAAGCTATGTCCGAAAGGAAATAATTTCTAATATATATTTATGCCAGAAATATTTGCAAACACAAATGGCTGTGCCATGGAATTTTCTTATTACAGGTTTCTACTATAAAAGGTTAGGTCTGATTTAAGGTTGGAATTTGTCTGATTCAGACAATCTGATTTAAACTGCCAGACACAGCTGTTCACAACTAATTTCAGAAACCAAGTTCATTAACAAGACCCATCTCTTATAATGTATTTTTTGCTTTAGCATCAGGGAAAAATTGGTGAATTGACCTTGAACAGAATCTAATGATGGATTGCCAAATTTAAAGGTTGTTGCTCTCATCTTATCTATGTGAGAACATGCGTATAAAGCTTGAACTGGGATTTTTCTCCTCTCCTCTCTGTGTCTTTTGGCATCAAAATAAAGCCTAAACTAAAGCTATATTGATCATGAAACCTATTGTTAGCCTTTAGAAAGAAAAAAATGATGTACAAGGAGCACCAAAAAGCTGAAAGAACGCATGATTTACACACCAATGATACATGGGGCACAAGAAGGGTCCACTGGAGCACGTAGCATCCGGATGGATGGAGCCTGGACGGGCCTAAACTTGTGATTTTTCGAAGCAAATGTGATTACCAAGTGAAACACAAACAAAAACTTCGATTTCTGCAAGATTAACTCCAATACTGTTCTTTCCTTTGAATCACCAAAAAAATTGATCGTATCGATCTAATCCATGTATCACATCAACTAAGGAACCAGATATGTTAATTGTAATGGTTAAATTTAGAAAATCTACACAAAGTACAACCCAAATGTCCTGTTAAGAACATTGTGAAGACGGTATCAGACCATATTTCCAAGGCATGAAAGGCACTTATGGAAATTGGTCACAATTGATTTATGAACAATTATGACCATTTAGACACTTAATGCTATCACATTAACAGGTGAGAACAATATGCTAGTTATCCCGCAGAGAAATTACTACTCTGTCACATGTTTATCCTAAACAACATAATCATAAATCACGATTTCGGTATTTTCATAATATTGTTGCCTGTCTGAAGAAAATCACTTCCAGGAGGACAGCCACAAATTATTAGTATGAGCCTACCGTAAGTTCCAATATTGTCTAATTGATCATTGACATATCAGTATCCTGTATGAATTATGATGAAGCAGTAAATCAGATGAAGATTTGATTATTAATCCTATCAATAGTGCTAACAGAGAATACTTAAGCTGCTGCTCCAAGCTTTCTAATCCATCTTAAAGCTAACCTCAAATTCCTCTAAGATGGAATTGTATTGCCTGCTTCATACTGGAAGAAAGAAGATGATAACCATAACTACGAAAAGAAACTATTATTATAAAAAAGTTGATTCTGACAATACATAAAATCAACCAAAGAATCATCTTAATATTGCCAAAAAATACACAAATGCCTACTATTATATACTATAAATAAAAGAATCACATCAGATGTTTCTCAAGAAATGAAAAAAAGAAAAGCGGGAAATCTTCATGAATGTATTACCAATTTAAATATAATTATCTGAAATTTTGGCTCCACAGCCATCTAAGAATCAATTTCTAAAAAGTGATTGCCAAAAGAAAAAAAAAAAGTATTCATGAAAAACACAATAAGTCACATTCAGATACAGAAAATTAGGGAAAAAAGCAGTAATATTTTTAAGAAAGATTGTTAATAGTGTTTATATAGCTTAACAAAACATAAGGGAATTGTTCAAGTAGGATGCAGTCTCAATAAAAACATAATAGGAAAAAAAATGAGACAAAGGAAAAGAGTTCAATACATATTCACTTAGTAGGAGGATTTCAACCTGCCATTCAAGTTTGTCATGTTCTCAATTTTAGATTATGAAAATTTGGTGTATATGTGATAAAGGATACGAAATTTGAGTAATTAAAACCAAAAATAATGAGTTTGAAAAAAAAAAAAGAAAAAGAAAGCAAAGCAATGATGTTTGGTTGTTTTCAATGATGAACATATATAATTTATTTGTAACAGAGCCTAGGACTTGGAGCTTTCGCTAGGTTCATGCAAGGGATTTGGCACTCCAAGACTCCAAGTTGTGATCAGCTTAGCTATCACGACATTTTGCCTTTCTTTTCATTGCTTTTTCAAGCTTTTAACCCTTCAGAGGTGAATGAAAAGGCTACACCACACTTTCTACCTATAGAATAGAGAGCATGCTAAAGCCAAAACCTGACAAAGACAAGGACACACTTGTATCATGCCAAAATTAGAAAAAGAACAAAGAAAAAAAAAAAGGTCTTTCAAACAATTAACCCAATTCCCACACTCTATAATTGAATAACAAATGGCACTGACTTGTTGCAATCCTGATGGGGTAAAGCCTGTTTTTCTGACGGTTTCAACACATGGCAGTTTTAGAATGGACGGCCCCATTACATCCCTAGTATTGCTTGGCTGGATGGAATGGGAATTATTCTTGTTCTTATGTGGTTTTGGGGAGAGAGGACAGGTTACAAAATAGAGACATTCATGTTTCATGATCAAACCCATTAACCCACCATTTTCATCAGGCCAAACCAGCCCAAAGACTACGGTCTTTTCCCTTTTTTTTTTTAATTTTTAATTTATTTGTATGTATAGGCTCGAATCCGTCTCAGCTACAAAACGCAATGCAAAATGCTTGCTAAAGTGGCACTTGATAATAGTGTGGACTGTTCTTTACCATAAAGCATAAACTGCAGCTTTTGCCCCACATAAATGGCAAGGAGATTAGATTGGTGATGGGACATATGCACCTTCCTTAGTTTGAGTGCTTAATTAGTAGGGCTCTTATTTTTTTCATATATATATATAACATTATTTAATATCTTAATTTTTATCAAAATATGATAAAATTTTATTGTTGTATATAAGATATAAAAAAATTAATTCATATTTATAAAATATATTTTATAAAATAAATTATAAAATTATTATCAAAATGTATAATATTTCTCAAAATTATATATGAATTTTCATGCACTCTGACATAAAAATGTAATAAAAAAATGTATTAACAATTATCTATTTTTGCTAGACATTTTTTAGTGACCATCACATCTTACCCCACCTTATGCCATCACTCTCTTGCCTTTTTTTGCCTTTCTTTTTCTTTTTTTCTATTGTTGGATAAAGGCATAGGTTCACATCATTAACTTGGAGAAAAGCATATGCCATTTTAAAAATCATATGAATTACTATGATTATTATAAGATTAAAATACGTGATAGATTTTTATATTTTTTATTTGTAAAAAATTAATTTTTATAATATTATTTTAAAAAAATTAATTCTTATAATATTATTTTTTAAAAAAATTAATCTCTATAATATTATTTTTTAAGAAATTTAGTTTTTATATATTGTTAACAATTAAACTAAAATTTTTAAAAAAATGATATTGCAAAGATTAATTTTTTTTAAATAATACTAAAAGAATAAAATTTTTAAAAATTAAAAAATACATAAACTTATAACACATTTTAACTTTTTTATAAATGCATTTTGTTTAACAACCAATCAGATATTAGTAAATGGAAATCTTGTAGTTGTTATAATTAGTCTTATGCCTTTTGAAAAATCATACAATATCTGTCAATTTTATATTTTATCAATGAATTTACTCGACTCGAATTTTGAATAAAATTTTAAAAATATCAATTAAATTATTTGATTCATTCTATTTTATTCACGTACATGATACAACCCTAGTTGGCCTTCGACATTTTCAAAGTGTTCATTTCATTGGTAATTATAAATAAATTTAATAATTTACGTATTTATATATCATAATTCATATCAATATAAAATATAAAATATATATTTTAAATTTTATTAAATTTATATATAATAATTATTAATATTTTAAATTATATTATTTTTGTTATATTTATATTATATTATTATATTATATTTTAAATTACTATATCTAGCCATTAACCTAAAGATCAAAAATAAAAATTTGGGTTAGAAATTTGAAAAGAAAAAAAAAATTTTACTAAAACCCATTTCAAAATTTTTGCGAATGAAGGGCAGCTTTCAAGGTTTCTGAATTCTGATCTTATCCAAGGAAAAGGGTCTGGTGCTATGGACAAGCTGTTGCAGAGAGGGGAATGGCTATGGCTGGCTTTTTTTGTCAGTAATGAAAAAAGTTGGTTGCCATAAGAGCAGCTTTGTCCTTCTTTTCCCATTGGACGCGTGTCAAGAAACTAACATATACAAGTGGCAATAAAGGGTCTTTTCATATCCCAACATGATATTTTACCTGAAAACGAAATTCAATTCATTGTGTAAAAACAAATGGCTTTCAATTTTTCCGACTTTTGCGGTGTCACCTTTTGATTCTTTTGCCCCTCAATTACCAACAAAAAAACGCACAAAAAAATAATAAAAAATTTAAAAATTTTTTAATTATGTTAATTTTTAGTTTTTTTTTTATTAGGAGGCCGAGTTTATGCTATGTTGATACGATTCGATTTTTTATAGTTTTATTTATTTTATTTTAGTTTAATATTAAATTATATGTATGAATGGTATTTAATTTTATTCGATTTAATATTACTTTAGTAATTTTTATTTAATATAATTTTAATAAAAATATTAGTTTTTAATATAATTTATATTTTAATTTTATAATATTATTTTATTAAGTTAATTTTTTAAATTAAAATATTAAATAACAATTTTATCAATATAATATATATAAATATAAAATTATATAAATAATAAAATACAAATTTTATTAATATTTATTTTTTATTTAAAATTATCAAAATTTAAATAATAATTATTAAAATTAAAATCAAAATCAAAATTACAAGTTTGACATTTTATTAAAATAAATACTATCCATATTATATTTATATCATTTATGAATAATTGAACAATAAAAAAAAGTTCAAATAACTTTTTTTGATGTAGAATTCATCGAATGATAGAATGCTATCATTTTTTTTTTTTTTGGTTTCATTTTATTTTATTAGTTTAAATATTTTGATTTTAATTTTGATTTAATTATTTTTAATTAAAAATTTCTCAGACTTTACTTAAATAATTTCATATAAATTTTTGCTCGAATAACAATTGGCAAAAAACAAGCTTCCCATCATAGAAACTAAAAAGGCTTATGCAGAAAGGGCAAAAAAGGAAGGGTCCAAAAATTTTTTCCCAAATACAACATGCTATAACTTTTGATCAATGGATGGGTTCAAACAAAGCAAAATTTAGATACAATAATTCAAAAAATATATGATAATTTAATATAAAAATAATATTAAAAAAATATAAAAACATAAATTAAAAATATATTTTATATTTTTTTATTATCATAAATTATAATACGTAATTTTTATATAAAATATAATATAAATATATAATTTATTAATGTTTTATATTGTATAAATATATAAATTAACAAAATCCAAAATACCTGATACATTATATATATATATATATATATATATAAAATCAGAACATAGTATGATAGAAATAATCATCTCTGGTTTAGGATTGTTTTGTCCCTGTAAGAAGGGTCCAGAATGGAATTTCAGGGTGGTAGAAAAAAACACCTCCTCAAAAGCTACAAAAGACCTGGAAATGCTTTTGAGACAGAATACGAGTAGTAGTGGAAATCATGTTGACTCACAGTGTATCTGCTTCGTCCTCACCACTTACCTGAAAGCAAAAAAGATTATTAATAATACTATAAAAAAAAAAAAAAACTTTTCTCTTTCTCTCTCTGTTTTCTCTGTCTTTCTCTCGTTTTAACATTTGCTTTCTTATTGTCTCTGTGGTAAGCCAAAGACAATCACGATAACTTTTTTTTTTTTTAATTTTGACTTGTTATTTTTTGTTTTTTTGTTGAGGGTCTGTGTTTTTGGTTTTTTTTTTTTTGTTTGGTTTGCGAGAAAACTGTAGGAAAAGGAGAGAAAGATGGGAATCTTGCAACATCCTAAATTGTTCTACTACAGTTAATAACGGGAACTAAACGTACCCATGTCAATCATTTTTTTCTGTTAATCTCTGAAAATGGGTGGTTTATATTTTTTTTTTTGTTTTCTTTTTCTTTTATTTTGGTTGATTAAGCTTTTGGAAATCAAAGAGTGAGCTTTTCTTACCAACTCTGTTGTCCTGGGATTTGAAATGTGAAAGAATTTTGAGTTTTTTTTTTTTTTTTAATTCTATAAGCTATTGTTGCATTTCTGCTTGAGCAAAGATTCATGTGATTGTTTTACGGGATGGGAAAATTCAGGAATATCAAGGAAGCAATAACACTAAGAACTTGTTCATTTTCTTTTCCTTTTAGTTTCTTCCTTGTTCTTTGAAAAACACAAAAAAAAAAAAAAAGCCTTCCTTGGCAACTCAAATCTTCAGCTTTACTCTGTTAAATTCTTGTGGAGAAGTTCATTAGTTAGGCTTTTTTGTTTCTCTTGCCAACGAAGAAGATAAGCATTCAGTTTTCTTTTTTTTTTTTTTTTTCTTTTCTCATTCCTTTTCTCTGCAATTTTCTCTCCACCTTTTTGTTTATGAAATGCCAAAATTGAAATAAAATACTAAATGAAATCAATGGTCTGTATCTTTGTTACTCTCTTCTTCTTTAGTAGCGTATTTTTTTTTTTTTTGTGTCTACAGCTAAGTAATCATTACATTCTTCAAGTTTCCAATTTATCTGTTCTTTGATGTGATTAGCCGAATGATTCTTTTTGTTTTTCTTCCTTTTATGAATTATGTGTAGGCATTTACATCATTCAGACTGATGGAGTCTTGGAGCTATGGTTCTGAAGGAAAAGACCTTCTTTTTACTGATGAAATGGACTTGCCAGTTGATGCTTTTGCTAGAAGTAGAAAAGGACTGGTAGGTTGGGACCTCAAGGCTTCTAATTCTGAAGCTGTTGAGAGTATGGAATTCATGGATTTTGGTTTTGCTGACATGAACAAAAAACCCTTTTATGGCAACACCAGTATGGGAATTTTTGGTGCTGAGTTTGTTAATGATTCTGTTAAAAAGGTAGTTTCTCCTACTTGTATGATCACCTCTAGTTCATATTATGGTGAAGAGGAATCTGGTTCCAAGCATTCTAGTCCTTTGATGGAGTCTAACAGTCAGGAATCTTCACTCATTAATTTTAAGCTAGGGAGATTGACTGATTATACAGATGCACAGGATGGCAAATTTTTGAAGGAAACTTCTGTTGTTTCTTCAGTTCGTCCAGCTTTGATGGTGAAGAATGCTCGAACGACAAGCTCAAATTCTCATACTCCTTGCTGTCAAGTTTTCGGTTGTAACAAGGATCTTAGCTCCTCCAAAGATTACCACAAGAGGCATAAGGTTTGTGAGGCTCACTCTAAGACTGCCAAAGTCATTGTTAATGGAATTGAACAGAGATTCTGTCAGCAGTGTAGCAGGTTGGTTTTTTTTTTTTTCTTTAACACTCTTTTGCCCGTCAATTTGATCTGCTTGTATGTGAAATTTTCTCCCCTATTGTCGATATCGTTTTTGGAAGAAGTAATTGGTGATAAGGTATAATGATCTATTTTAACAAATGAAAGGCGCTTGCCCATGTTCATAGGGATACTCAAAGTTTCAAAGGAGGCAATGAAACCAATTCAGAAAAGTTGCTTAGAAGGCAAATGAATTAATACAGGTGTTACCCTTATAATTGTCCTTTCTTTCAGCCAGGTAGGAAGGCCCTCCCCAAAATTTTCTTCACTATCCTTACTTGTAACAATTCAACAACATATATCAGGGTAGGACCTTCTTTTGTAATAGCCAACTGACTGCAATATCAAGAAATGGTCCCTGCAACATCAAGCGTTCCTTAACAAAATTAAAATTTTAGACCTTCCTCGGAAAGACCAGAAGCTCAATCCCCTTTATCTTAAAAGGAAAGCAGCAGCTGAAGAGAAACTAGCACTCTACTGGAACATATTTATTTACATTGTGCCACTTGTTAAGAAATGATTGTACATGATTTAATCCTTTAATTCATAGGAAGTTCTGCTTAAAGTTTAATGTTCTATTTAAGCTTACTAATCCTATTTCTATTTAATTATAATTCCTATTGCTTCAACAGGTTTCATTTATTGGCTGCATTTGATGATGGTAAGCGCAGTTGTCGTAAACGCCTAGCAGGGCATAATGAGCGCAGAAGGAAGCTTCATTTCAATACCCTTTCTGGAAAACCAAATAAGTTGCTGCAGTCATATCAAGGTATGAACAATCCCTTACTCTGCTTCTCCTGAGGAAATTAAGTTACTCTTCTTTATACATTTGAAATTAAGATATAAACTCAGCCTGTCCTGAGAGGCAAAAAAATCCTTTGCGTTGGTATAGTAGTAACTTATTTTCTGCTAGGAAACAGGTTTAGGGCTAAATTGATGTAAGCTTTTGCGGATTTTTTATTTTCTGCAAGTTGAAGAACAGTCATACAAATATCCCATGATTCGAGATACAAATTATTTTTCTTGATTTCTTTGAAAATTCTTCATAACCCCTTGTAATAATACTGTTTTAGTGCTGCTATTTAAAAAGAGAACTGCAGAGTTGAAGCAAACCTGTGGTCTTAGCTTGGTTTGCTTCCTTAATTGGCTATAGCGTTTTGCGAAATTTTAACATACTGTTCACCTATGTGGGTTCTCAGGTACCAAAATTGTGGGTACCTCCATACCAAAAAGAACACCTTTTGTTATCCCCAACATATTTCAAGATGACCTTGTTTATCCAGAAAGATATGGACAAGCTAGTCAGTATCAGCAGGTTAAATCTGAAGAGAAACCAAATTACAGTAGTCAGTCAGCGATACCGATGTCAAATGGCCAGTTACAACCAAAATCTTTCTTTCATATGCATGGCAGTGGGAAACAAAATGTTCCTGGAACTTTTTCATCAGCAACTGAAGTGTTCAATGCTCCTAATACAGCATCAACAGTCAAAGAGTTATCTGGGGTTGCACGCTCAAATTGTGCTCTCTCTCTTCTGTCAGCTCAATCACAGAACTTGTCAAGCCATGCGATAGGAATTCAGATGAGTAGGTCCTTGATCAATCAATCTGGCCAGGCTCATCATAGCTCTGGGAAATCTGCAGCAGCGAGTTTTTTGGAAAAAGCCAATGGCTTTTATTCATGTGGAATGAACCCTGTGGGAGTTGGCCAAGCAGGGTCTGTTGTCGTGTCTGATGCTGGTCATACTGTTAATTTTGAAGTCCAAGCAGATGGATATTTTCAAGACTCAGGTCTTTTGAGTGCAAGGTATTGTCTTTCTCCAGAAAATGGAACCACCATTGATTTGCTTCAACTTTCAACTCATCTCCAAAGAGTGGAGCAACAAAGGAATTCCATACAAGTAAAGCAGGAAAATGAGGACCTATGTTATTTCCTTACCACTTAATTAGTATGTGAGGGACAAGGTGTGTGTACAAAACATCTTTTTTCTAATTTTCGTCTTTTCTGCCAGATATTTAGTTATCCTTGAAAGTAGGAAACTTTCCCAGCTCACATATCTAACTATAAAAGGCTGTTGCAGTGTTGGGGAGCCCACAAGACTGTCCTAGTGAACTTTAACATGCTAAAAGAAAGCAGATAACAAATAATGGATTAATGAAAATGCACATTGTATGGACTTTGTTTTTAATAATTTTCTCAAACTGGCCACCTGTGGATTCTTTGCTTTCAAATGTTCTCCATAAATCGAGAATTTGTTAGGTCAAAAAGTTAGGCTTAGGGAATCTGTTGAGGAAAGAGTAAGGTCAAATGCAAATAAGAAAGACTATAAATGGCCTTGATTTCAATCATATCTGCTGAAACAAAGCTGTTTGGATTAAAAGAGAGAGTTGATGTTCTAATAGTTCTTGCAGGTTTGCAGGAAGAGTTGCAAAGGTGCTGCATCAAGTGTTTTACCTAGTTGATGCGCTTCACAGTAGGCTGTTCGAGATTCTGATACCATTGGTAGTACATCTCGTTTCTGATTGGAATATAACAGTGAATTCTGGACTTCTTAACTGTAAATTGATGCAAGTTCAGCAGTATTTGTTCCTTTCAAGAACTCTTGCTCCCCCATTTTATGTTGTTTCTGGTTTAATGATTCTGTTACTACATGATACTGTTGGAGGAGCTGGATTATTGAGATCCCTCCACTTTGGTTGAACTGAAGGGGCAAGTCCAATGGGAACAACCAAGAGTCAAGTTGGAATAAGATCCCTGTAAAAAGTTTAGAATGGAATCATGTAGCACTAACAGCTTTTATTTATATACTTTTATACTGTATAAAACTTTAAGTGGTTCATGCCATTGGAAGAAGATATGCTTGGCAGTGGACTGTATATCCTTGTTCAAATATTTTTACAGCTTTAGAGCTGGTTGATCGTATTAATTCAAGTCTTTGGAGCATGATTTTGTATAAATTACACCAAAAATCCTGGAGTTTTGACTGGATGTAGCTTTATGAATTAGGACTAAGCAATAAAGTAGTTTTCATACTTTTATCTTAGCTATATATTTGTAATTCTAATGCCTTAACCAATTGGAACAAATGGATGGTGGCCACTTCATTCACCCACCACATTTGCCTTTAATATTTTGCTCAGTGCTCTGTTGGCCAGTAAGTTGTAAATGGCTTTAAAAGTGCTTTTTTGAAGATCAGCCTATTTAAACATTATCTTTGCTGCATTGTCTGATTGTTGTGTGCGTGCATGTGGCTTTATCAGGCTTCCAACTTGATTATCTTTCTAAATTTTTTCTAATCGAACATGTTGTCATTGCTGATGTATTGTTCATGGCACTTGATGATATAGTTATCAAAAACCTGCTTTGAACTCTGTCATAATGTAATTGTCAAATGCATGTCTTTTGCAGCTTTGATATTTGACTTGAAAAATCATTGGGTGCACTGCTTTTCATAGGATAAGTTATTGAATTTAAATAGTGATTTGGGGTCGTAGAGACCAAATTGGCTGTTTGCAGAAAATGATTCCTTAATGTATTTAACTGCTCATATATTGATAATGCCATTGAAAGCCTATAAAAAATGCATAGTACCAATGAGGAAAAAGCTGTAAATCATACGCCTTTCGAATTCGAAACCAACTTTTTAAATTAAAGATACGTGCATTTATCATTGAATTAAACGTTCGGATTTAAATTTTTTTTTCCTTTTGATTAAGAATTACTTGAGGTATAAAGCAACAGTAAGCAAAATCCTTCACTATGAAAGACAAAGAACAAATTCATGACTTTGAAATATTTGAAAAATGTGTTGTTTGAATTGGCAAAGGAGGTCCCCAATTGAAGTCCTATTCATGAAGTTAATAAAAAATGATGTCACATCTGATATCATAGTCTAATGGCACTTTAATAACTAGTCAATTATCCTGATAGCTTTGAGTTCAATCTAGATTATCAAAAGACTTAATTGCACTCTAACATCTTATTTAAAAGTAAATTTGATAATTCGTATATTTTTATCGTATCAAAATATTAAAATTCATACATTTATATTGTGTTTTACACGAAAATTACGTTTTATAATTCGTATCGATATAAAAATATAAAATATATATTTTTGATTTTATTAAACTTACATATAATTATTATTAAAATTTTAAATCATTTATTTTTATATTATGTTTATGTTGTATCATCGTATCATAATTCAAATTATCACATCTACTTGGAAGATCTTTTCGAAGCTATAAGAAGTCAAAGAACAACAATAAATTATTGGAAACCAACAATGGTTTGTGTCAATGGGAATAAAAAATTTAGCAGTATGGTGGGTGGTCACTTTCTCTATGGAAAAAGGACATAATGTGGAGATTTCATGTGAACTGGGCATCTTACAGCCTGAGATTTTCTCTTAATATAAGCAGATCTTCTTCATTGCTACAAACAAGAAAAACAAAAAACGAACAAGAAGACAGAACAGAAAGATGAGATTTCAAGGTTTGATTAGTGTCATGTAGTTTTTTGAAAGTTATTAAATAAATTAATTATTAAAGAGACTTTATAATTATAATCTTTTTCTTTCCATCATATATGATAATGACAATATAATTTTGCTTGCAAAATTTAAAAATTTCACCATCAATATATAAAATAATAATCTTTTCATTAATTAATTAAATTAAATATTTTGAATCAAACCTACTCGAATCTAAAATCCTAAACACAAATTTGATTCAAATTAGATCGAACTTATTCGAGCTTGATTGCTCTTGGACACATTTAGTTGAGCACTTGAAATTAATTAAAAATTGCCTTGCTCATCAAAGTGGCAAAGTAAATTGCTAGATCACACTTTACACAATCTAAAAAGTATTCATGTAAGTTTGTTTAGGAAAAGTTGTGCCAATTGGAATTGAAATGCTGGTTGTGCTTCATGCTTATGAACTTTGGTGAAGTTTGAGACTGTCAAACACTATTATCTCATGCAATTAGGGGTATTTGTTTGAGATTTGTCAAACAGTCTTGAATTCAAAATATTTGTTTTATAATTTTTTATCTTTCTTAAATTAAAACAGCAAAAAAAAAAAAATGGTATGACCAAAGCCAAAATGTCAAATTAAAGTATTTTGTTTCATGTGGTAAATCTAGGGTTTTAGTATCACAAATTTAGAATTTAACTATGAGTTCATTTCATAATAAGATATATGGACAAAATTTTTATCGTATTGTGATATCATTTTATGATTATATCCCTAATTCAATATCAATATATAAAATAATAAATTTAAATTTTGTTTAAAAAAAACTCTAAATATTTTATACATGGAAATTAATAATAACAAGACATTAGTCAATAGTCATCTTCTTTCATTTTTTTTTTTTTTTTTTGCAAATCACATAAAATTTTAAAAACTGGATATAGTAATTCCTACAATGTCAATCACTTTTAGACATGAAATATTCAATTTTACACTGTTAACTTCCTATCTTTATTATAATGTTCACTGAGTGATATAATAATTTATCAATATCTAATTAAGAAAAATAATGTTCTTTGGGTTGATTTCAATCTATTTGCAACATCATAATCTCGTATCGAAATATCATGAGGATGGCATTATACTACCCAAATTAACTTCGTCATAAACTTTTTAATATTATACCATTGATACAAAAGAGTATAAAAGACTATTGTTTTAAGAAGAACTACCAGTAATTATTTTTAGCGGTGATATGGAGATCAATGATAACAATTGGCAAGCATATATATAGAAACAATTAGGTCTAGCACAATATATAGGAATAATAATATATATGAATATAAAGGTCAGATACTTAGGATAGTTGTTCATTAAAAGACTGATACCTTAAAATTAGATCATAAATTAAGAAAGATTAAGGCACAAAGTTAGGTTAAATATAACCTAAATTTTTGCTAGTAGTCATTCTCCAAATCCCCGGGCTGTCTCTCAGCTTTGTTTTTGTTGCACTTTCATGTATTATCACTTCATTAATCCTGCAAAATTTGATTGAAACCCTAAAAGCATCAGTTCCCTTTGCAAAAATCAAAAGATTTTTAGCATTCTCTAATGCTTGATTGCATGTCAAACATAATAGTATCTTGTTTCCTTACATTTCTGCTGCTTGCCGAAGCTGATGATGCTGCTGGTGAATTTGGGATGTACCTGGCCCACTGTAGTCCAAAAACTCGTAAAAATTAATGTCAGAATCAAATTTATCATGAAAATTAACGATAAAATTGAGGATACTCTTAATAGGTTATTATTGAAAGAAAAAAGATAATGAGAAACTAAAGAAAATTAAGCTCTCAAGGGATGAAACAATATAAACTTACATTTTTAGCTGCTGCACTGAAAGCTTCTCGATGGGGTATCTCAGGATTTGCTGCTTTAATGCGCTGTATCTCCTCTCTTTCAATGAGAAATAGGATATGCGAAAATTAAAACATAATACAGTTTCAAAGCAGAATCAACATTGTAAAATCGTCATTCCCTTACTTCATAAACCGATTGTAAGCAGATGGGAGCCTGTGTTTCTTCTCAGGAGCTGCAAAAAAAATGGTTTCCCATAAATCCAAAAGGAATATTGTAGGGCAGAATAATAAATTAAAGCTTCTATATATACGTTTTACAACAAAAGGTGCTTTAGGGGATGATGGCTCGCTTGATGTTGATGAGGATGGCGATGAAGACTGAGTACCCTTCCTGAAATCACCGCAGAAACTCTGCTTCTCCTTGACATGAACCAACTTGATTCCATTACTAATCACACCAAATCTTTTCAATATTTTCACTTTTATATGTGGGAATTACATAAAATTGTGAACAAGATAATTATAGAATCCAAAAAGAATGGAAAATTTTGCTTCCTTACTATATGTAAACTAATGGCTGCACTTGCCTTTACCTTTATAATCTTTTTCTTTCTCTTGATTTAAAATGGAAACGTACCTGGAGAGTGAGGCTGGTTTGTGGATCGAGGCATTGACCTTGCAGTGGAGGCCTAGTGCTGAGAAAGGAGAGGTTACTGCAATGACCGCATTTCACTGTCACGGTGTCCAGCAACCTTTTGCAAGGGATCCCAACCTATCAAACAATTCAAGGGAACAACAAAACGATGAAGGAAAGAAAGAGAGAGCTAAAAATATACAAACCCCAAACTAAATCTCATCATCGTCAAAAAAAAAAATGTAGCATAATTTCATTATGAATAACAAGGTCATGAGGAAGTAAACATGGCCCAAAGACCCCAAACTATGTGATAGCTATTACTACAACTTAAATTACCGCAAGAACAGTGTTGCAGAAGTTGCATCGGACATAGCAAAGATGCTCGGATTGTGGAACCAAGTCCATGCCAACTTTCTCATCAAGGTTCATATTATCAAAAGGAAGAGTGTGGTTTCAGAATAAATCAAGGTTAGGGTTTTTTTGATAGCAAGAGTGGCCTGTAGTACTGGCTATCTCTGATCTTTTAAGAGAGGATGGGGGAATTGGAGCCAAGATCCACAGTCAAAAAGAAAATCTAGGGTAACATTCATTGGCCCCGATGGGGAACCTGGTTTCTGAAAGAGAGTGGAAAAGATAGTGAAGAGATTGGGTCCTGTCGATGCATTCCATCTTTTGTGGGTGCAATATTAAACAAGGAAAGCTGAAAGAGATAGATGCTACAGTCACATGTCAATGTCACACACGCACACGCACACTGTTTGATAGCATAGCAGCAGTACTATTGAATTTATATAGGAGAGGGTGGAGCTGAGAAAAATGGGATGGTTCCTTGTCTTTTTGTGGTGTGACGATTCCTCAATTGCCATACATGGAAACAAAGCTAGTTTGACACTCGGTTTCCTCACCTTTCTGTGCTGGTATAAATCGACTTTCCCAAGGCCAAGGGGTGCTTTGGCACTCAAGGCCCTGGCCTTGAAGTCCGATGTATATATATGGTGGTTTTGCTTTTCATTTACTGCCTGCCTTGGGTCTCTGAATTCAGTATGCATTTGTTGCTACGGGATTCCCTTGGTCCTCTCCTCGATATCGATTGTTACCAATTACTTCATGACTCATTTTCACACGCATAGTCCTGTTCATTAACGGATATGCACACAATCATTAGAGCTATGGTGACCCTCTTTCTTATCCATATCAGGAAACTCTTTGAATTGTGATTGGACAGCTCTTTACCCCCTCTTTGACAGAAGCAGTACTACGCTTTTGTTTTTGGCTATCAAGCCATGTCCAGCTTTTGCTTCCAAGGTTAAGGAATTTCAATCCCCTAGCTTGTTGAGTGATTGAGGTTGCTTCGGATCAATTATTACCATAATTGGTTTGACAAATAAAACAAATCTACTGCATGATTAATATATAGTAGATTTCTTATCATGGATCATCGCTCTTATGATTGAGAATCATGTAAATTGTTGTCAGCTAATCCAATATTTTTTATGGTAATATCCTCTTTCAATATAAAAAAATAATTATAAATTTATTAATTTTATTAATGAAAAAAGAATTCAAAAAAGACATTTTCTGCAGAGAAATTTTTTTTTCAAATTTTTTATTGTTTAATATTTGAGAGAATCCATAGATATCCTTCTTTGCCATTTAAATCCGCCATTGATATCAATTTTATTATCCTTCTTTGCCATTTAACTCCTCCATTGATATCAATTTTATTACCATAAAATTATTATACTAACGTAAGTGAATCTTTTTCTATAATCACATTCATGGTTTTTGATACTATGAAGAACCAAATTTTTTTGCATCGAGGATAGCGGTGATATTGTAGTGTATATTTTCATTATACCTATTATTTCAAACAATATATGAAAAAAAATTTCATTGTTCCATTCCTTTCCATGGACCATATTACTATACTAGCATCAAGTCGAGCAAGTTTTTCCCATGCCTCAAATTAAGTTTTAGAGAGGCAATAAAGAGCCGTAATGGCATGAACCACCAAATTAATTTACATATCCAAAAAGACCACATCTTCAATCCACATGACCCAAAAAAATTACCACGTAATAAATTTGTTACATTTTGAATTGATGTTTCACATCTCGATAAGTACATTGATTAAATTTGTTCAAATTATTATGTAAAGATTAAATTTTAATTTTCGTCAGATTAATTGGTTTTATAATTTAACCCATATTTAAATAATTAGGGTGCATATTATTAATTTGGCATCCATATCATTATCAATTGGCTAATAAAAGAAAAGGACATATCAAACTACTAAAATATTAATTTCATTTTTCATATAGTATTTTTAGCATTGTTTAATAGAATTGAATCTAAAGGAGTATAAAAAAGTGGCTTTAAAAATATATATTTTTCTTGTTTGATTTTAATTTATAATCCTCTGAGTCTTAGGCTCTTACAAAACATAATAAAAAAGAGTAGTATTTAAATTCTTTAGTATAATTGGCCAAAAAATTGTTGAGGATAAAATAAATATTAAATTGATACCTCAATTCCAACAAAGTCATAGTATAGAAGTAAATATTCATGTTTGTCACGAATAATTGAGTGATCAGGATTTAATCTTTGACAACGATCTTTGAAAATCCTCATTACTTCGCCTTTATCTCTTTATTTCTCTATTAATTTAACCATTCCTTCATATACATTGATTCACTTTTAAAAAGAATGATAACCATTCCTTCATAGTAAGCTGAAGAGGACTCTCCAGCGCCGGCCCAGTAAATGTAGCAGTTGCTGCTTTCCTTTCAATTTCCTAGAACATTTCAGCCCAGCTCAGCTTTACGTCTCATTGTCCAAGATCCAAAAGTCATTAAATGAGGAAAACTTTGGTCTAATTCATTCATAAATCCATGCTATATCTGCATTAATTTCTTTGTATTAGTACTTTGATATCCTTATGAGCAGTCCCCTTGGTGCTTCAACTTTGGGGAATTGATGGATTTCATTTCTACCAACTTCCTCCCACCTGCATTTTAAAGTAGATAATTCGACTAGGAATATGAATTTGAAAAAAAAAAAAAAACCCAGAAGGAGTGTAGAATTGCAGATTTAGTTTTAGCAGATGAAACGTTCTACTCTTGTAATCTAATCAGTGCAATTATTTATGGACCAAGAAGGATAGAAACTATTGTTGGCCAGCCTGTTGCCCCCTGCAAATATGAAGCAGTTGTTGTGTGACTCCAAGTTGATATCCTGCAGTTCGGTTTGTTAATATTTTCATGTGACTGGAGACTTATAAGCTGTAAAATGAACAATGGAATACTTCAAGTTTGAAGTTACTCACCAGCCATCTCTAGGGATTGAAGGTTAATGGCCCTAGATGAAGGAATGGATCATAGTTAATTTCCTTGTATAAACATATATTCTCCAACCTTTGGGAATGATAAATCCTGGCAAGCACGTTGGAAGTTTTAGAATTTAGATATTGGTATCATATCTGGTACCTAATGCCAAAAGAAAACAAGGGAAAAAATGGGTTTGATAATAACACATAAAAATTCTTGCTACCCAAGATATGGCATCAAACAGGTTTATGTTCAAATTTCAATATTTACAATTTTTTGCTCGCTAAATTGATAGAATACTGGACTTTTAGGATTAGTGATTAGGGTTTAAATCCTGACAACATTAAGTATCAAAAACAAAAATTCTGACTCTCTAAAACCTGATACTGGACTAAGGAAAAATAGCCAATTTGAAGCTCAGAGTTCCCTTGAGGCATACCATTTAATACCATATCTTCTGTTGTCTTTCTCAGTACCCTTTAACAATTGTAGCTAAGCTAGAGGTTTCAAAGCTTACCTGCACATCAGAGAGATTAATTAAGGCATTATAAACAATAGATTTAGCAGTAGAACACATGAAAAGCTGGTGGCAAGGTTCAAATATTGCTCACAGCGCGAGTAAAACTCATTGATCACTTGTAATCGTTCCAGTCAATGCCTCTCCGCCTTTTCTTTTCTCGGATAGCCACATGCTCTTCCTAGGCAAGTAAAAGCATATATCCGAATCATCAAAACCATAATCAAGATAACAACAAGAATTCAAGCAGGCAAAACAATAGGTGAAAAATAGACGTTTAAGAGCTTAGTTGATTTTTATAAAATGATAAACATTTAGATAATTATTTAATAAGTTTGTATATGATGTATTATTAATGTATTATGCTATACACTATCAATGAATTATATAATGACATTTTATTACAAAATTAGTTTAAATATAGTTTTAAGATTTAATATATTTCTTTTTTATGATTTTAAAATTTTAAAATTAAGTTTTTATGACATTATTATATAATTCACGAATAATGTATACATTTTTACATTAACAGATGATCAAATATAAAATAAAGAAATGTTCAGTATTAATAACTGGTAAATTTTTGGGTTACAGTATTTTCTGCTGGACTAGTTTAAATGATTTGGTAGGAATACGCTTGGGACTCCATAAGGCATGTGAAGAATGAATTATAATCTTGTTCCAAGAGATTTGGGCCAAAAAATTAGTGTCACACCTAAAACAAGCCCGCCCTTCATAGACTGTGATTGAATGCAATTGGAACAGGTCGCAAAGGCCTAGAAAAATACCAACTTCCCTTTCTTCCTAAGGCTTTGTCACTTATCTCACCGACAAGACTCCAACGACTATATAGGTTGGTGACTTGGTGCTGGTGTTCCTTGCCTACTCTTTCTTTCCACCATTATTCAACACAAAGAAGAGTGCCCGCCACACTGTAATTTGTTTATAAAAGCAGCATTTTCACACTAGGTGCTACAAAAAAATCTAAAAGAGAGCCAGAAAATCAAGCATGCCGACGCTTACAAAGCTTTACACAGGAAGCCTCCCAGCATAATATCAAAGAAGGTTGCTGGGTCGTTATTGACGTCAAGGTTTTCTTTGTTCTTTTCTTTTCCTCTTTCTCCTCTTTAATTTTTTTATGTTTGTTTGTTTGTTTGGGCCTTAAAGTTTAGATCAGATCTGTTTTGCTCATAAATTCTCTCCTGGTATTATGGTTGGTTGCCCTGTTTTGGTTTTTTGGATTAGTTTTTTGACTCTTTCTGGTTTTGGTTTTGACTTTTAAATAGAACAGTTCCGAGAGTTTTGGATTTAGGATTTAGTCAAATAATCATACCTTATTTAATTATCATGTAGAGTCAGGTACGTGGCACCCTATTCATTTTCATGCAGACCTGAGATTTGAGGGCTTTATATTTTTTATTTGTAGATGGATTCCTCCTGGTTCAATATAGTCATTTTTGTTGCTACTCGCTGGTTTTACTTGGCATTGAAATTCTCGCGTTGATGTTTAAGGTGGTCTTATGTGCCAATATGCATGTGGTTGACTGGTGAAGACATTCTGAGTTTTGTAGGATTGAGAAGATTGCAGAAGCTTTGCTTGTGCACGATGCATTCATTTCCATATATTTATCTTTTTAGTTGTATGGAAAGATGTTTTCTATACTGAAACCATGTCTTGTGTTACCATGAGTACCAGTATTCCTGTTGCTGTTGAACAAAGGTGGAGTTTCTGTTTCCCTCTAATGCCTCCTGACCAGACCCCATTTAACGGCACATTGTTGTCCTGCTAATGCTACAAGTCACAGTTAATCCACCTGATTGAATTTGGTTTCTTAATTGATCAATCTTCATCTAGCTTCAAGGGTTTGTGTACTAGGTTTTACAGCTAGGAATTGC